GTGATGACTCAAGTCACTACAAGTACCTCACAAGATCCCAAAATGTCTCTCAAGCTGGGTGAAATGTTTCTTTGCTTTTGCTGTTAAGGAATGACACACACAGCGTCACCTCCCCAGAGAATATACTTGGACCTTACAGGTACTCCACCCCCCGATGTAAACCCCCAACTCCTGGTCATCATGCAAGGGGAACTGGGAGAGGGCAAAACTACGGGTCCAGGATCCCCATCAGTAGGACTACTGAGAAAAGTAATCAGACAATTGCCTTATCAGAGTCTTGCCTGCTCTGATATTCTAGAATTCTACATGTCTAATGCTTGCTCAGCATGTGGCGAGGCAAAGAAACCCAAAGGTTAGTTGCTGATGGTCTTGAAGCTGGAGAAAAAGCCAACATTTATTAGTGTCCATTAGCCAGGCATTGTACACGTTTAATCCTTGTAAGAACCCTCTGAGGAAGGTACTAGACCTATTTACAGAGAAGGAAACTGAGGCTCTTGGAAGCTAAGAGCTCACAATGCTGGGATGTAGCTAAAGAGTTTGGACCCATCTCCCTGACTCCAAACTCATGCTCTTTTCACTGCACCGAGATCTTCTGGGTCTGGAATTGGCAAAGCGACATATTATGGGGAAAGACGTCAAGAGGGTAATGACTACAAGATAGAAAAATGTCAAAAAAGGCAAAGTCAGTCCCTCTGTGTTAGAGAATGGCCAATGCACCAAAGACACCCCAGATGATAGAGGGCAGATGTCATCCAGGCGACCTTACCGGCTTCTGTGTGAAACCATTAACGGAGTCCATCTGTCCCAAGACAGAATCTGTGCCTTCCCAGCCTTGCTCCTGCTGCCCTCATTTCCCATTTGTCCTAAAAAGGACAGGCCAATGACAACAGTAACTTTTACACTGCCACGGTGTATTATGCTCTATATTGCCAGACACTACACTACGCACTTCTAACGCATCATCCAATTCCATCCGCATGTCAACCCTGTGAGATAGATACTATTCCCCCATTTTACAGAGAAAAAAATCCCCCCATTTTATATGAGAAAAATTGAAGTTCAAAAAAGTTAACTGATGAGGGGTGGAGGAGAGGTGTGAAGTAGGCCATCTCGCTTCTGACTCAGAAACCTGCCTTCTACGAGCTTCCAGGGTAAGTTTTCTTTGAGTCTTTTGGACCAGCGCATTCCCCAGCTCCCACGTGTTCTCGCTCATTCTCTCTGTCCCTGTCTCTCTCTCTCTCACACGAACACGCACACCTCCTTTTCCTGCTCCCCTCTCTTCCCCTTCCCACTTTCCTTGCACAGGAAAGACACTGACGTCAAACCTCCGGAACGCTGTCCTGAGTCATGGACAGCTGAGACTGAGACACTGCTGCCCCTTCCCGTGCCCACAGCAAATCCAGAAGGTGCCAGGCGATGGCCTTCCCTCATCCAAGAGGAAGACTGCTCCAGGCTCCAAGCGGCCCTCACTTCTTCCCTAGCCCTGGCGGAGATGGCCCTCCCTCCCTCCCTCCCTCCCTCCCTCCCTCCCTCCCTCCCTCCCTCCCTCCCAGGAGAACTTCAGGAGCTTTGTCTCTCATATCCCTGGGATTGGGTTGTTTTCTGGGCCATTCAGCCCTGGGTTCCTTTTCAAAGCCCGAGTCCCTTTTTTCTGGTAGCTCCCAAGTCCATTTCACACATTTCACTGTGCCTGGAAAAGGGGTTCCAGGACAATGGGTCCATCCATCCGGGGGCCTCTGCGTCTCTAAAAAAAAACCCCCGAACCCTACATGAGAAGGCCTCCTGCAGCTTTATCCACCCACAGCATCAGAACAGCATGGGCCATGGGGGGGGGGGGCTTCAGGCTCCTGGGAAGATGCCAGCAGGGAGGCAGGCAGGGGGCACGGAGGCTTGCAGCGTGGGGGCCGCGGGCAGCGCCCGGAGCCGCCGTGCAGAACGCGGGGAGACGGCCCAGCTCCTTGTAGCCGCGCGCCCGCCTGCCTCGTGGCGTCCCTTTGATTCCTGCCTGCTCAGCGCCACGCGGGGGTGAGCACAGCCCGGAGGGCCCAGCCAGGCTCCCTGTGTCCCGAGGGCCTCGCCCAGGCCCAGCCCGGCCCTCCCTCCTCCACCCAAGGCCCCGCCGCGCCACCTCCTGCCGCACTGCGTGGTGGTACCTGCGCCGCCGGGGCCCATTCCCGTCCCCGACCCTGAGTCCCTGAGCACCCTGAGCCCCTGAGCACCCTGAGCACCCTGAGCATCCTGAGCGCCCTGAGCATCCTGAGCACCCTGAGCGCCCTGAGAGCCCTGAGCACTTTGAGCATCCTGAGCACCCTGAGCACGCTGAGTGCCCTGAGCATCCTGAGCGCCCTGAGCTTCCTGAGCACCCTGAGTGCCCTGAGCACTTTGAGCATCCTGAGAAGCCTGAGTACCCTGAGCACCCTGAGTGCCCTGAGCATCCTGAGCATCCTGAGCGCCCTGAGCATCCTGAGCGCCCTGAGCGTCCTGAGCGCCCTGAGTGCCCTGAGCATCCTGAGCGCCCTGAGCTTCCTGAGCACCCTGAGTGCCCTGAGCACTTTGAGCATCCTGAGAACCCTGAGTACCCTGAGCACCCTGAGTGCCCTGAGCATCCTGAGCACCCTGAGTACCCTGAGCGCCCTGAGCACCCTGAGCACTTTGAGCATCCTGAGCACCCTGAGCGCCCTGAGCATCCTGAGAACCCTGAGCACCCTGAGCGCTCTGAGTGCCCTGAGTACCCTGAGCGCTCTGAGTGCCCTGAGCACCCTGAGCGCCCTGAACATCCTGAGAGCCCTGAGCATCCTGAGCGCCCTGAGCATCCTGAGTGCCCTGAGCATCCTGAGTACCCTGAGTGCCCTGAGTGCCCTGAGCACCCTGAGCGCCCTGAACATCCTGAGAGCCCTGAGCATCCTGAGTGCCCTGAGCATCCTGAGTGCCCTGAGTGCGCTGAGCACCCTGAGCACCAATTGCCACTAATGCTCAGGATGACCAGGCCTGATCCTCTGTCCTCACTGTCCCATGGGGGGTCCTGGGGCCCCTGCAGGCCACCTGGACACTCCTGAGCACCTGCTTTGCTGCTGCGGGCCACGGCGCCCTCTACCACATTAGCCACATTGCCCTTGGAGCCAGTCTCCTTCTCTTCCTTTTAAGCTTCGTACTTTGCACCCCAGGGATGAGACTCCTCAGCGTCAGCCTCATTTCCTCTTTTCTAGAAGCCTTAGCCTGGCCTGGAGCCCACCTTGCCACTACCCTACCTCAGGCTACCACACTCTCTCTCTTGCGCTTCTTAACCCTCCTTACCCCCCCTTCCCTTAAGAAGCATTAACCTAAAGGGCTGGGGCAGGCGGTGTGGTGTAGACCTCCCCTGCTCTGTTCATCAGGGGCCATCGCCCGCCCCTCCCCTCCCCTTCACTGCCAGCGCCTTCCTGGGTATGGAGTTTACCTGCCTAGTCTTCGGCAGGTAAAAACATCGTCAGTCCCATAAGGACAGGAGAGCACACTCAGGGGCCCCGTGTCCCACAGACCTTCTGCTTTCTTCTTCTTCCTACACACTTCCTATACTGGGGAGGGGGGCTCACCCTTCTAGTCACATGAACCCCGTCGTGCAGGGGCTCCATCCTTTGTCCCACACAGCCCCGACACCCCCTCCTCCTCCCCTCAGTCACTGCTAGGGCCCAACAACCTGCTCCGGGCACAGGTGAAGGAGGGAGCCTCCTGCCCGAAGTGGGGTGCACTGGTTGAGGCTCATCCTCCAGCATCAGAGTTGGGGCGTGAGCCTTGGCTGCTAATTGCCAGCCATCGGACGTGGTAACCATGGACAAGCCTCCGCTCCATCCTCCAGGAAACCGGAAAACACCACGTCACCGGTCCTAGGAGAGTGGGTTGGCCCTTGCACCAGGCCCACTGCATGGGAAAATGTCCACAAGCAGTGGCTCTCGTTATCAGCTGGGGGAAACATCATAGCTCTGATCTAAAGAGCAGACCCCACAAGCCTGGAGTGTGACGTCCAGGAGGACTTGGAGGCGAGCACGCACCGGCCCCAGGGCCTGACCCACAGGTCCGGAGATCTGCGCTGCTAGGCAGAGGCAGAGCGCGGTACACTGGCTGGTGTCTTAGGATTTTAACAACTCACCAGTGAAGGAGACAGGAAATACCACCGGCCCGGGCATCCTACTGGTTGGACCAGTAGGCACTGACAACACCCAGTGGCAGCAGGCACCGAGAGCGGGGCCTGCCTGGCAGCCCGCCTTCACCTGGTCTGTCCCCAGGGCCTACACGGTTGCATGCAGCATTTGGGCCCAAGGGCGCCTCTAGGCGCTGTGACCGTGGGTCCCAAGTTCTCGGGCACTGTCTCCCAGTCACATCATGTCCCCCGACAACGGTGGATTATTAAATATGTCAGGAAATGTGATTTGATTTTTATGCCTCATAAGACTTCTTAAGTCACCAATGTGAAAGAAAAAAAAATCATGTCACACTCTCTGAGCAGAATACATATCTGGGAAGTAGAGTCACCGAGCCCAGTAAGAGGTTGGGGTGCTCTGGATTTCTGGGCTTGGAAGACAGAGCTGCGCCAGGCGGCTTTGTCTGGAAGCCCTGCCGCTGGTGAGTCAGAAGCGGGCTCACCACCTCCCTTCTCTTCCAGTAGCTACCATTTGTGCAAGAGTACGTTGTGGGAGGGGTAAGAGCAATAAAAGCCATCCCTGCAACCATTACTGGCTTCCTGTCCTCAGAGGCTTCGGTGTCTGCTAGTTGCCCGACCCTGCCATGGCCTCAGGGTGTGTGTTCCCTCAGAGGAGGGGACCCTTTTCAATAGAATGTCCCGAAGGGGTGGGGTCACAGCGGATCCCCCCCCAGGAGCGCGCGCGCGCGCACACACACACACACACACACACACACACACACACACAGGCAGATGCAGGCAAGAACAGTGTGAGCAGGTTTCACGGGGGCGGGGGGGGGGGGGACGTGGAGGGGGACGGGAACAAGGCCCCGGGGCTGTTTACCTTCCCACAGATCCACCGTCTGAAAAATGTCAGTGGTCCTGACCCCGTAGATCTCTGCTGCTTTTAGGAACTGGGAGATTTGCTCCATCTGCTTAAAAGCCATCTTCGACTCTGAGATCTTGGGAATAGGCTCCTGTCCGGGTGGGTATAAACTGTTTATCAGCTTGCACAGGACCTGAAGGGGGAAGGGGAGCCAGTATCAGTGTTTCCCTTTGTACGTACCGGTGGCTGAGGCAGAGGAATCCCAGGCCCCACAGGGCACGCCTCACAGGTTTGGGCAGCGGCAAGTCTTTGGCACCCCAGGCAGGCCCCGGCTCGGCTCGGGGCTGGGTGGCCCGGTTCCCAGAGCACATCCCAAAGCCCCAGCTGGCCTGGCTCCCAGGGCTGCTCCTGACCGCAGTGGGTGCTGCAGCCCAGGCATCCCCTTCTCGCCCTGCTCCTCCGGGCCTTTCTCTGGCCTTTCTCTGGCGGAGGGAAAGCAGGTCTACAAATAGGGAACAATATGGGTGATGGGGCCTGGGGTCCAGACTTCCAAGGGAGGGAGGAGAAGTCAAATAGTAGAATCTAATACTATGTCCTCTATCGAAAGGCAGATCCGAATGAGGCTTCCGTAACTCATCCCCTGTGTGCCAGCCACGGATCCCAGGACTGGACCGGGGACTCCCGCATGCCTGGAACCCGGGTCCTGGGCAACCCAACCAAAGCGACACACAGCTGTTATGTAACCGTGCATGGCAGCCTGCAGAAGGGATGGGCTCGTTCCCCTCGGCAGGCCCCAACCCCCAGGCGCCCAAGAGCATCGGGTCGGCCAGGATCCCCTTCAGTTTCTGGAGATCCCATGTGTTCATCAGACATTCAGCGCCTCCAGGCAGCAGGGCCCCGGGAAGGGAAGGGAGGTGGGGGGGCGGTTAGTGTCCTCCATCCCTTCCTTTGTTGCACCTTGTAACTAACCCAAATCCCGGGGCCTGGGGAAGGACGACCCCTCCCGGAGCTGATGGACCAAGAGGCTGGAGAAATCCTGATGGGAGTCCTTCCCGGGGTTCCCTTCAATGCAAAAGGCTTCCCCTTTGGCACTACGTCCCGGGCAGCTGCCCCGTCTCGTCTCGGGGGGATGGGGATGAGGATGGGGATGGGGATGGAGATGGGGATGGGGATGGGGATGGGGATGGGGAGTGCTCCGGGCTGCTCCGGGCTGCCGGGGAACGGCGCAGGGGCGCGCAGCCCGGAGGACACCGGCACGCCCACGCCATGCCCGGAGCCAGCGGCCGCCCGCGCCGGGAGAGGAAGCCCCGGGGCCCCGGGCCCGCGCTCGGCCTTACCGTCCCGTCCATTAACCATTGCTGAAAGTGGGCCCTGCCGGGGGGCGGGTGCGCGATGTCCTCGGCGCACTGCAGGATGATCCAGTCCACCAGCTTGTTCTCCAGGTCCGCGTCGTACTTCTGCTCGATCTTCTCCTGCACCTCTCGGCTCAGGCCGTAGCTCGGGCCCCGGTTCGCCATCTCGGGAGGAGCGCGGAGGCCCCGCGCCGCATCCGCATCCACACAATAGCGGCGGCGGCCCCGCGCCCCGCGAGCGCGGCCCGGACGTGCTGGGCGGCGGGCGGGGTTAGATCCCGGAGCCAATGGAGCCCCCGGCGCCTCGGCTACCAGCGCGCAGGACAGCGCGGCCACGCGCCGGGGACTCCAGAATAAAGCCCCTGCTGCGGGGGGCGGGGGGGGGGGCTGGACCGCCCCTCCCGGTCCCGCCTACCGACGGGTGAGTGGAGACGATGCACGCGGGCGCACCACCCAGGCCGAGCTCCCCCGCCCCCCCCAGCGCCTCTCCCGGCAGCACGGGGCTGGGGGTGGTCGACACCCCCCCCCCCCCGCCCCGCTGCAGAAGCACTTTGCGAGCCAGGGATGCGGAGGTGCAAGAGCAGGTCACGAACCGGCAGGCGGGCAGGCCGCCTTGACGGTCACCTGCGGATGCTGCGCGGCGCCCGCAGAATGGTCCCCGGAGCGGCTGGGAGTGTCTCCCCGCACACGAGGGGCAAGTGGGGGCCGCTGCTAGGAGCCCCCCCCCACCCCCGGTGTCACTCAAGCCCGCCAGCCTCGCCCCAGCTGAGAGCTTCTTTCTGGCTACACAATTCTTTCCCCTCCTGGGGTGGGGTGGGGGGTAGAGGTGGGGGGAGGGCCTATTGTCTAGCAGAGCAGCCCACGGGGGTGGGGGTGGGGGGTAGAGATGGGGGAGGGCCTATTGTCTAGCAGAGCAGCCCACGGGGGTGGGGGTGGGGGGTAGAGATGGGGGGAGGGCCTATTGTCTAGCAGAGCAGCCCACGGGGGTGGGGGTGGGGGGGTAGAGGTGGGGGGAGGGCCTATTGTCTAGCAGAGCAGCCCACGGGGGGTGGGGGGGGGTAGACATGGGGGGCAGGGCCAATTGTCTAGCAAAGCTGCTCACAGCTGCAGGGGCCACGGCCTGGGCCTGGGGGGAGGGTCCATTCTGTCCGCAGTCCACCTGCCCCCGCGCTGCCCAACCACTTTCCCTCTGTCCCTCGCCCCGAGGTAGCAGTTGTCTGGCTGGACAGGAGGGAGGGGCTGAGAGCTGCAAGCATTCATTTGTTCAGCTGCCAGCTGCCAGCCAGATTCCATCCGGAAACTTCCATCCTGGTGGGGAGACTGTTGTGCCTCAGTTTGACTTATCGGAAGGATGCACCCTTTTTTTTAAAAAAAAAAAGATTTACTTATTAATGAGAGAGAGAGAGAGAGAGAGGGAGAAGCAGGCTCCATGCAGGGAGCCCGTCGTGAGACTCGATCGCTGGTCTCCAGGATCAGGCCCTGGGCCGAACCACCCGGCTGCCCAGGATGCACCCTTCTAATGCTATTTTTAATCAGAAGATACTGAGAGTGTGAGAAATCAATTAAAGGAGAGCACACAGAGTGAAAGGTTTGGGTAGAGTGTAAACATTTCATCTGTTTATTTTAGTTAAGGACCTGGCAGGCCCCACTGACGTGCCACCAGTATTTGATCAAATAAGACCCTGGGACTAATCAACTCAGACCTAAGTTGGCCTGAAATTTTTGTAACTGCTAAGAGGCTTGGCAACTGTCTTCCTAACTGTAAGCCACCTGGAAAGGTCTCATTGTGTATGCCTCGGAGTACTTTTTCTCTGAGAAAAACACTCAAAAAAGCGTTCTTTGGGGCGCCTGGGTGGCTCAGCAGTTGAGCGTCTTCCTTTGGTGCAGGTCATGATCCTGGGGTCCTGGATTGAGGTCCACATCGGGCTCCCCGCAAGGAGTCAGCTTCTCCCTCTGCCTATGTCTTTGCCTCTATCTGGTCCTCTCATGAATAAATAAATAAAATCTTTTAAAAAAATGCATTCTTTTGGTTCATTCAGCAAATATTTTTTGAGTGCTTAATTGTGCCAAGTACTGCACCACTGCACCACAGAGGAATCAAATACAATTCTTTCCCCTGGGATGGATTGTTCAATTGACTCAGGCATATTAGATAAAGCAATTCTGATGTATGTAAAGGTAATCCTGGTGCCTGGGCAAAATTGGTCAGAAGCTAGGTAGGGAATGACTCCTTCAATATTACATGTATTAAGAGAAATCTCCTGCCAGCTGGGGCCTGGGCTATTGAAAATGTAATCACTTAGTAGACATGTGGGAGGTTTGCTTGAGAGAGAACCCTGAGACACAGGGCACTGGAAGAGAATCCACTTTTAGGAGAGCAGCAGGTATAGAAAAAGGCACAGCAAGGCCTGACTAATGCAGATCTTGAGGCTGCATGGAATCATCGGTTGAAGAAGCTCTAAAGACGACAGAACTGTCTCTGGAGATTTGGGGCTTAGGGGCAGAGTTTGGAGCAGGGAAATTGTCAGCAGAATTTTGGAAGTCACTAAGTTGCATTTGGGTGACAGTAGGAAGGTCAATTCCAGCTCTTGACTAAGGAAACAGAGGCCTGAACAGAAGGCATGTTACTTTCTCTGTGGCTGGAATTGCCCTAAGGAAGAGGTTGGTTGGTTATATAAAGCTAGAAACAAGTCTATAAGATGTACTGTGCATTTATCTTCCTTCCTTCCTTTCTTTCTCTCTGACTGTACTTTGCAGATCATTTGTATCCAAAAATTTCCTTTTTTTTGTGACAAAACAGCTGGGGTGCTTTAAGTGTGTGATTGAGCTCATGGTTCTAGAGAAGATACAGTGGCAAAGAGTGGGGGCCGCAGCAAGCAATAGGTTAGCAGTGTCCAGCAATCTACAGAGAAAAAAAATGTTTGATCCCTCGGAGAAATGGGCTCAATTACTGAGTGCTTCTCAGTTTCTCAAAAACTTTTTTTTTTTTCTAAGATTGTATTTACTCATGAGAGACACAGGCGGTGGGAGAAGCAGGCCTCTGTTGGGAGCCTGATGTGGACTCTTTCCCAGGACCCCGGGATTACGCCTTGAGCCAAAGGCAGACGCTCAACCACTGAGTCACCCAGGTGTCTCTCAACAACTTTTTTAAAGGGCCTGTGTATGTATGCACTCTGGATCTTTCATGAATAAAACAAAGAAAATCTTTGAAAAAAAATAAAGGGCCTATGTATATGAGTACAAAAATGCATGAGACATGGCAATGTGGTCTAGTAGCAAGGTTAAGCTTTAAAAAGTAAATCCCAGCCAGGTATCATGCTAAAAGTATGCACAAGGTACTCAGGTATGATGATACCTAGAAGAAAAGGAGGTAGGGATTGGTGAAAAGGTTTACAAATGGGATGACTTTAAGCCTCAAAAGATGAGTGGGCATTTGCCAGGTGGATGGGGTGAAGCAGGAGAGATTGGGAATTCAGGAACGGGCTTGGCAAAGGCAGCTTATTTAGGCAGTGAAAATGTTCTAGTAACAGCAAAGCATAGGATTAAAGGTAAGAGACCTATAGGAAGAAAAATAAGGCTTGGCTGTCAGACAGGCTCTAGACCATGAAGTAGTCTGTTTGCAAGTGCCCATGGTCAAATTTTCAGGATTTTGAGAGCCAGTTGTCACTTAACCATTATAAGCAACTGAATTATGTAAACTTACAATTAAATAAATTACAAATGTTAAATACTCAGAATGGATCAGTTCCTAATTTATTTTGCTACGTTTTACTATTACCTGTGCTTTGGAGGATATTATTATGTTTATTGTCTCTCTCTGGTATATACACTATGTAATGGTGGGCTACTGGCCATTTCTTCCCAGCTTTGTTGTATTCAGTGACAGCATAGAGGTAGCTTCAAACCAGTCATTAACAGGTCTACTAATGCCATGGATGTTGGCAAATTTATAAATCAGGGTGTTTTTGTTTTGTTTTTTTCTGGAAAGCTGGTTAGTTGTATTTATTGGCTTTGTCTACCACTGGACTTACACAAGAGGTTTTCAGTTTTATCGCAGAAAAAGAGAATCATCCAATTGATTTGGGCGAAGGAAAAGGGGATGATTAGAATGACTCACAAATTTGACCTGTAAAATAGGTTAAGGTGGTGCCATTTATTGTAAGGGGACTTGTATTCGGGGTCACCTGTACGCGAAAGGTAACAAGATTTGTACTTACTAAGTCTGGGGGCCCACGATCCATCCAGTTCATTAGATACGTGGTTCTGTGGATCTGGACCTCAAGACAAAGATCTGGAATGGAGGAATGGACTTGAATCATCTGCATGCGTTAAAGCTAGGAGAAAGGTAGGGTGTCCGTCCTTGACTCTTGATGTCGGCTCAGGTCATGATCTCAGGGTTGTGAGATCAGAGTCACCTCACAGTCTGAGGTGCCTGGGGATAAGCCATGTCAAAACGAAGCTCCTGACCTCAGTGGTCCTTTGAGAGAGGGAGGTTGGAATATACCAGAGAATCTCAAAGCACTTAAATTCTACCAAAAGGGGGAGAACAGATTGCTGTTCTTGAGAAAGCACAGTGGACCAGGGACAAACTTATTAGAAAAGAAAGGTGGAAAGGAGTTGGGAAAGGCTTTCCCTGGGAAACTGACATTTGAGCTTATTTTTTTTTTAATTTATTATTTATTATTATTTTTTTTTAGTAGAAGAAAGTTTTTCTGTCGGCAAGACTCTGAAAGCCCAAATGTGTGGAAGGATAATTTCTTCAAAAGACACATTTGGTTAAAAAAGAAAAATTGCTTGCCTTTTCCTAGGTATATTCTCTAAATGCATAAAAGCACCACTTTTTAAAATATCAAACCAACTATGCATATCATGTGATTACGTTTCTAAATTAAAAATGACTTTATTTTTTTAATTTTTAAATAATTTTTAAAAAATGACTTTAGATGTACTCTTAGAGGGAATCTTTAAAAGCTATATTTACATTCCACCATCTTCTTTCCTTCAGAAAATAAGAGTTGTTTGGGTTTTGTTTTTTTAACAGTTTCAAATTTAATGAACATTTGGCACATTCCCTTTGGGCCCTGAATGGTTGTGTGGCGAGTCCTGTTCTCCTTGCTGTCTCCATGCTTCCATGCTTTACAAAGCTCAGCCTTGCCCAAGGCTCTTTCCCTCCTCTCCTCCACACAGAACTTTCTATTGACTGCTCAGAGAACAACATACCGTTTGGATTTGTGTCTGGAGATGCCTCTAAGCTCAACAGATGCAGCAAAAGCAAATTTATTCTGGTCTCGCTTAGCTTTCCTTACCATTGGCGTTTGCCTTAGCTCTTTCCATTGTACATGCTGAGATTTAGAAGGGTCGTGCATTTAGAATGATGCAGGAGTTCCAGAGGATAAAGCACTCGGGGGCTGCTGGTTGTTCAAGCATTTTCTGTGTCACTGGATACATGGCATGGAGTTTTAGGGGGGAAAAACCCACTAAAGTAACTAACAACGCACTAGAATACATGATCTCATTGATACAAAAACCATATGGAATTCGTGTTATCTTTGTAAAACTAGTTGAAAATTTTAAACAGTTTTTCCTATATTCGGGTAGGGAAGGTTCCTCCTCCTTCCTGTTTTTTTTTTTTTTTAATATTTTATCCATTCATGAGAGACACACAGAGAGGCAGAGACACAGGCAGAGGGAGAAGCAGGCTCCATGCAGGAAGCCTGATACGGGACTCGATTCCAGAACCCCGGGATCACACCCTGAGCTGTGATGCTCAACCGCTAAGCCACCCAGGCGTCTCTTCTAACCTTTGAACGTTTAAAAGGATACCACACAACTAACCTTCTAATTTGGCATCTTGAGGAGAGGCAGGTACTTTATAAGCCCTGCCTGCTTCCTTGCCTCTTTTCCTTCCTAACCCCCACGAATTATGTCCACCAGTTTCTCACCAGACTGTGCTCAGTGCATCATAAAAGTGAAAAGGTAGGGACTCCCATGTTGGTCACTGTTCCAAATGTACTGCACCTATTTAACCCTTATGCTTTATTATCTAGCTTTATGTCATCTGACAGCTGAGGAAACTTCGGGGAGGTTAAGTAAATTGCTCAATTACAGGGTTTGTAAATGATGAGCTGGATTTTAAGCCCACCTGCATAGCCCATCCCTAACCACTATGCGTAATGCCTCTACAGGTATGCTGGCAATCTTCAATCATGCTTATTACATTTTTTGAGATGCTTAACCCTAGGAAAATCTCATGGGCAGGGCTGTTTTCTCTTCATCTTTCGAATTCTCATGCCTAGCAATGTCTGGGTGGAGCAGGCCCTGGCATAGCCACCCTGCCATCTGCTACAAACTCATGCTAGCACTAGGCATCGAGGAATACGCATGATTCATGTATATTTGATTGGTAAGTGATTTTTGTTCAGTATAACTCATAGATTGTAGTCCTGTAGGACATTCTCCTTTTTAGTATCTGTGTCCGGGGTCCTGAAGACCACCTGTAGGTTTGACAATTTGTTAGGACTCAGCACATAGTTCTACTCACGGCTATGACTTACTAGGAATACAGAACAAAATCTGCAAAGGAAAGACATATGGGGTGAAGTCTGGGGAAATTAGGCACAAGCTTCCAAGAATTCTTTCCCAGTGGTCATGCCGAAACTCCCCCAGTAACAGTTGTGACCATACATGTGAAAGGTCCACCGGGTAAGCTTGTGATACTCAGTGCCCAGGTATCGGGAGCTGGCCACTTAGCCTCTGTCTGGTACCTATCACAATTCCAGACTCCCAGAAAGGTGTGGAGCACAAACCATACCGTTCATACAGTATAGACAGTTTAGTGAGCCACTTTTACCAGTTCCAGGGATGGTGGAAACCTCCTAAAAGTCAAATTCCCAGACGCCAGCCAAGGGCTCACCTTGTAAGCTGGTCTCGCTGAGTCTACGCAGTCGGGCTTGCTATTTTAGCGTTCTCTGGCATGGGAATTTTATCCCAAAAATGTTCTTTCTATAGGTCATGTTATCAATTTATTTTACTTTGACAGACACAACTTAAGCAGCCTAAATAAAGTCCAGCCAAATTTAAAAGCTAAAAGACACCACCTCATTGATATCAAGGCTCACTACTATGTAAGCCCATTTTAGTTCTTGAAAAACACCTTTGTACTAATTGCAGTTCATATTTTCTTACTATCTCCCCACCTCAGGAAGCCCTCTGACTTAGATGGCAGTCACTTGGCTCTTTGTTCTTAAAGGCACATAATAGTAAAGGAAGGTTTCTGCAGGCAGGCAATTATATAGAAAGATAAGTTGCCTCTTTAGAGTACTACATCAAGATCAAATCCCCCCCATTTAAATGGCATATAAGCCAAAATTTAGAAATGATATATTTTCTTTATATTATTTTAAAGTTTTGAACATTTAAAAACAGATAACATTAAGTTCAAACATAACATGCAGAACATAATATATAAAGTGTATCCTCACTTTTTGAACTTTATTATGCTTCAGACATTTTTCTGATCATTTCAGGTTTATTTCAATAAACATTGTCCTATATTTTGTGAACTGCATTTTAAAATCAGGAGCAATTTTACAAATCTCTACAGAACTGACATCAGACAAAAGACCAAAAAAAAAAAAAAATCAAACTTTCTTAACAATTCTGAGAACACAATTAAGAGCTATCCCAGTTAACGTAAGCATTTAGCAGGTGAACATGTCTTGAATAAAAAAGCAGGAAATATTTTACGAAAAAAAAAAAAACAACATGCAACATGTATAGACCTAGAGGGTATTAGATTAAGTGAAGTTAAGTCACAGAAAGACAAATATGTTATGATTTCACTTATATGTGGAACCTAAAGAGCAAAACAAATCAGAAAGAGACCCATTAATTCAGAGAACAAATTGGTGGTTGTCACAGGGAAGGGGGTGGGAGGATGGGCAAAAACAGGTGAAGGGGAGATACGGGCTCCAGTCATGGAATAAATCATAGGGATGAAAGGTACAGAGGGAACAGAGTCAATGGTGTTGTAATAGCACCATATGGTGACAGACAGTAGCTACACTTGTGGTGGGCATAGGATAATACATAGAGTTGTCAAAATCACTATGTTGTACACCTGAAATTCTAACATTGTGTGTCAACTATACTTCAATTAAAAAATATCAAGGATTGGGATCCCTGGGGGGCGCCAGAGGTTTAGCGCCTGCCTTTGGCCCAGGGCGCGATCCTGGAGATCCGGGATCGAATCCCACGTCGGGCTCCCGGTGCATGGAGCCTGCTTCTCCCTCTGCCTGTGTCTCTGCCTCTCTCTCTCTCTGTGTGACTATCATAAATAAATAAATAAATAAAAATATCAAGGATTGAAGGAAGGAGAAAAATTTTCAAACAGCAACTTCTATTTTCTTTACAATTTGTATCATACTTCATTAAATAAGTATTCGTGTGATATTTACAAAATATAGACAAAGAGGAAAAAACCTAAATATCAGGGACTTTCACCTGTTATCCCTCCTCTAATCTCTTGGATCCATTAGTTTACATACCAACTAAAAATATGATCTAGTTAACTATAGTTGAAAGCTTATCAATTAAGTCATCAATAGTATAAACAAGAAGTTGAATGTCCGCTTTTTCCTTCATTCGGTGATCACTATGTTTTCGGAGGATGACATCTACATCTGTGCTGACTACTCGGTCAGCAACTTGTATGGACGTATGCCAAGGTATGATGTCATCTTTCATGCCATGGAGCAATCGTACAGGGCAGTTCACGGGGATTGGGCTATGTAACAAGCAGTGGTGCTCCGCTTCTTTAATGAAACTGTACTGAATGTGATAAATTCCTTCTTCACTGTACTTTGATGGTATGTCCCACATGCCTTTCATCTCTATTTCTTTTTTTACCTGTTAAGAAAAATGAGGAAAATAAAAGTTTTTATGCAACACTGACACATGCAATAGTCTTAAACAGTCCAAGGAAAGCAGTCCTAGAGGAAGAGGAAAAGAGATAAAAATGTAACAATGATAGTAATCAATAACTAAACAGTAGATGCAAGGTACTGTGACAGGGACTTTACACAGTATCTCATAAGATCCTGTTAATGATTATTATTGCATTTTCTTTGCAAAAGAGGGTAGAAGAATCTAGAGAAGTTAAATTTCACATTTAAAGTTGACAGGGAACAACTGCTGTGGCTTGGTTTCAAACTTAGATTAAGCTTTATCAGGTAACATCTTAATTCAGGTGTTGCTTCACCCCAACTGAAAGGGAAAATGAAGGGGAAGAAAATTATTTCTTGGAATCAGTTTGGGTATCATTCTCATTACACAAAACTAAATCTTAGGAATAACAATTGTTTACATTTCAAGATCACAAAACTAAAAGTGTCTATAGGGCAGCCCCGGTGGTGCAGCGGTTTGGCGCCGCCTGCAGCCCTGGGTGTGATCCTGGAGACCCTGGATCGAGTCCCATGTCAGGCTCCCTGCACGGAGCCTGCTTCTCCCTCTGTCTGTGTCTCTACCCGCCCCCCCTCTGCATGTCTCTCATGAATAAATAAATAAAATCTTTAAAAAAAAATAAAAATATATATCTTCTATATGTGAAGTCATTAAAATAGGGATGGAATAAGGGGAGAAAAGAAAGAAAGAATCAGAATCAAAGAAAGCCTAGAACTAAAAATGAAAAATAAGATGGCAGTTACTCTGGACAATCAAACATATAATTTCAGGCTAAACATTAAAACAAACAAACAAAAGTACTGTTTTTGCCTTTCAGATTCCTAGGGAATGAGAAAAAAATGTGTTGTTTTGGATGACAATGAAGTCTTCCAAGTACTTCCTGAAAACTGAGCAAGGATATCATTAATACATTTATTCTCTTAAGATAAAACACAGGATATCTTTTGATTCTTGAAGAATTTTAACATTTTAGATTATAATTTGTCTTATTTTTTAGATCATTTATCTTAAACAATGTTTCTAATCAAAGTCATATGCTTGTTATAGAAAACACAGGAAATACAGAAATTATAAAAAAAGTAACTGCACATAATCCCACCTCATGGATATAACCACCATTAATATTCTGGCTGACTTCCTTCCAGTATTAAACATATGTCCACTACTAACAAGTAAATTACTTTCATTTATTTCAGAAACCTCATTTCAACCATGATGTGCTGAAGAGGATGCTAATAATGAAAAGCACTTTTTTTTTTCTAAAGTGAGAATTAGTAGTAGAAAAAAATGCCAACTAAATGTTTAAGCAGGAATGGCTAATTTCATCTCCTGTGTGCTAATTCTGATCGACTGATGGTGTGTACTTGGAGCGCTTCACTGAGAGGCTCTGAGGCGGCTTTCAGGCTTAAAAAAATTTTTTTTTCAACATCGATGAGCCAAGTCTAACATGATCATAAGAATAGGTACTGTTTCCCATATGCCACAAAATAAAAATAAGAGATACAAAAAGAGATCAAGATGTATGATACAAGTAGATAAATGTGATTAATAAAATGTTGCTAAAAAAAGAAATTTAAAGTGTGATCTCATCAACAGGGCTCAAATATTTGGCAGAATGATTTGAAGGGGCTGTGAAAAAAAGAAATCTTGAACAGAGGCCAATTATTTAAAGAAGGCAAGGAGATTATATACAAAAGTGCAGCTAAGGCAAAAGATGAGCGAGCATAGGAAGTCAAAGGACAATGACACATGAACAAATATTCAAAGACAGAAGGAGCAGGAGAATGACAGGATTTATACACTGAGGCTACTTGTGACTTACCTCAACAGGAAGCTGATTGAACTGTGTCACTAGGCTATCTACAGCTGTCGCTATACCAATAAGTGCAACAACCTTTTGTGGCCTTGCGATCGCAGCATGAAACATAAGCCATCCACCGAGGCTAATTCCAACTAGTATCTAAAGTAAAAATTTATAAAGTTTTAAAGAGTAGTTTCTCTTTTCTGTAAGCAGACTAAAAAGCTTATGTATGTACTTTTTTTCTTTTATATCCGTTAGCTCTCTGACTTTTAATATTTGGCATAAAGTAGAATTAAAACCATGATTACAGTGAAAAGTAAAAGGCTACTTACATTTTATGAGACAATTAAAATGATAGAACTATTTTATTTTTTTTTTTATAAATTAATTTTTATTTGTGTTCAATTTACCAACATACAGAATAACACCCAGTGCTCATCCCGTCAAGTGTACCCCTCAGTGCCCGTCACCCATTCACCCCACCCCCACCCTCCTCCCCCTCCACCACCCCTAGTTCATTTCCCAGAGTTAGAAGTCTTTATGTTCTGTCTCCCTTTCTGATATTTCTCACACATTTCTTCTCCCTTCCCTTATATTCCCTTTCGCTATTATTCATATTCCCCAAATGAATGAGAACATACACTGTTTGTCCTTCTCCGGTTACTGTGGCCAAGTTCAAAAAGGGTGTTGCTGAGTTCTTCTCTGGGATTTTGATGGAATCTTGTCTCACATTTAGATCTTTCATCTATTTTGAGTTTATCTTTGTGTATGGTGCAAGAGAGTGGTCCAGTTTCATTCTTCTGCATGTGGATGTCCAATTTTCCCAGCACCATTTATTGAAGAGACTGTCTTTCTTCCAGTGGATCGTCTTTCCTCCTTTATCGTATATTAGTTGAGCATAAAGTTCAGGGTCCACTTCTGGGTTCTCTGTTCTGTTCCATTGATCTATATGTCTGTTTTTGTGCCAGTACCACACTGTCTTGATGAACACAGCTTTGTAGTACAACCTGAAATCTGGCATTGTGATGCCCCCAGATATGGTTTTCTTTTTTTAAAATTCCCCTGGCTGTTTGGGGTCTTTTCTGATTCCACACAAATCTTAAAATAATTTGTTCTAAGTCTCTGAAGAAAGTCCATGGTATTTTGATAGGGATTGCATTAAACGTGTAAATTGCCCTGGGTAACATTGACATTTTCACAATATTAATTCTGCCAATCCATGAGCATGGAATATTTTTCCATCTCTTTGTGTCTTCCTCAATTTCTTTCAGAAGTGTTCTGTAGTTTTTAGGGTATATTTTGAGAACCATTTGAATGGTAAATGGTTCTCCAACCTTTTATTTTCAGGTTGTAGGTGTCCTTCTGTCTAAAATGAGTCTCTTGTAGACAGCAAATAGATGGGTCCTGTTTTTTTATCCAGTCTGAAACTCTGCGCCTTTTGATGGGGTCATTAAGCCCATTCACGTTCAGAGTTACTTGAACTTCTTCTTAAAGGGGAGTTTTAAGAGTCCCCCTTAAAATTTCTTGCAGAGCTGGTTTGGAGGTCACATATCCTTTCAGTTCCTGCCTGTCTTGGAAGCTCTTTATCTCTCCTTCCATTTTGAATGAGAGCCTTGCTGGATAAAGTATTCTTGGTTGCATGTTCTTCTCATTTAGGACCCTGAATATATCCTGCCAGCCCTTTCTGGCCTGCCAGGTCTCTGTGGAGAGGTCTGCTGTTACCCTAATATTCCTCCCCATGAAAGTCAGGGACTTCTTGTCTCTTGCTGCTTTAAGGATCTTCTCTTTATCTTTGGAATTTGCAAGCTTCACTATTAGATGTCGAGGTGTTGAACGGTTTTTATTGATTTTAGGGGGGGATCTCTCTATTTCCTGGATCTGAATGCCTGTTTCCCTTCCCAGATTGGGAAAGTTTTCAGCTAGGATTTGTTCAAATACATATTCTGGCCCTCTGTCCCTTTCGGCGCCCTCGGGAACCCCAATTAAACGTAGGTTTTTCTTCCTTAGAGTGTCATTTATTTCCCTTAATCTGTCTTCATGGTTCTTTAATTGTTTATCTCTTTTTTCCTCAGTTTCCCTCTTTGCCATTAACTTGTCTTCTATGTCACTCACTCGTTCTTCCACCTCGTTAACCCTCGTCGTTAGGACTTCTAGTTTGGATTGCATCTCATTCAATTGATTTTTAATTTCTGCCTGATTGGATCTAAATTCTGCAGTCATGAAGTCTCGTGAGGCCTTAATGCTTTTTTCTAGAGCCACCAGTAGCTGTATAATGGTGCTTCTGAATTGGCTTTCTGACATTGAAGTGTAATCCAGATTTTGTAACTCTGTGGGAGAGAGGGCTGTTTCTGATTCTTTCTTTTGAAGTGAGGTTTTCCTTCTAGTCATTTTGCTCAGTGCAGAGTGGCCAAAAACAAGTTGTATTGGAACACGGGGGAGTATCACTGGTCCGTCCAGCTGGTCTTCTGGGGGAGGGGCCTGCTGCGCTGATTTTCAGGTGTTAGCACTTGGGGGAGCTGCTCTGCCCCTGCCTGCTGCCGGGCTCAGCGGGGGTTGTTTACCCGGTCAGGCCCCAGGAGGAACAGTCGCAGTTGCTATGGCAACTCTGGAAGCCTGGATTCAGCCTCCGCAGGAACTACGGGGCTCGGGGCTCTCGGCTTCTCCGTCCGCAGGGCCTGGAGGCTCCGGGGCGGGGCCGCTGATCTGCTCAGCTCGGGGCAGGAGCGTCCGTCCTCGCTGTCCTGGGCCTTCCCGGCTCTGCCTGTCCCGGGGGAGGCCGGATCCTGGGCTGTGTCCCGGCGCCCTGTGCTCCGGGGCCTGCGCTGTTGGATTCGCGCTCCCGCCCTGCAGCTCCCTCCCTGGATCCGCTCCCGAGCCCCTCCGAGCTGCTCCGGTCGGTCCCGCCCTGCGCGCTGCAGCCCTTAGGGAGCTCGGTGCACTCTCCTGCGCTTGCAGGTGCCTGTTAGTGTCCCCGGGAGCCCGAGGGCATCCCCGCCCTCCTGGGTCCTGCTCCAACTCCCTGCGAGCCCCTTTCCGCCCGCCCGGGAAGGTTGGTGCAGCTCCTGCTCCTCCGGGACGGGGCTCTCCTGTCCTGGGGACACTCGCCCCGGCCTCAGCCCGGCTCCTCGCGGGGCCCCTCCCCCTCGGAGGCCTTTTGTTCCTTTATTTCTTTTTCCCCGTCTTCCTACCTCGATAGAAGCGCGGACTCTTCTCACTGTAGCCTTCCAGCTGGTCTCTCTTTACATCTCAGGCCGAATTCGTAAATTTTCAGGATGGTTTGAAGGTTATCTAGGTAATTTGTTGGGGACAGGTGATTTGGGGACCCTGCTCTTCCGCCATCTTGCCCCTCCCTCGATAGAACTATTTTAAATCAAATACCAAAACTGATGGTAAAACACTTGAACTATTAAATTTTCATAGCTAAAGAAACAGCTCAAAAAGCATGAGGTTGGTCAATAATCAGATTTAACAAAAACAATCACCTGAGGTCCTTCAGCTACATCGTCAATTATAGAAAGAACATCTTTTCTCCACTTTCCCACTGTGCATTCTTGTAAATTACCATCCGAATTTCCAACTCCTGACAAATCAAACCTAGAAAAAGGGAAAACATAGGTCTATGTCTAGATATTTATCTATACATTTGCTTCTCTGATTTTTAAGAAACATAGCACATTTGTTATAATTACAATGCTTGAAATATATTAAAATAAAATACTGAGGTCAATATATATTTTAGCAGATCCTAGTGGTAGAACCTTCAAATACCACTTCCATCCACTCTCACCTCCCTCTGCCACCAGCGGCCACTCCATGTCACTAATCTCCTCTGACTGACTAGTGTGACAGTCTCCTCAGGAGTCTTCCTGCCTCCCTTTCCTACCGTTGCATCTCTTCCCCCTGCAGCAGTCAGTGATCCTTTTAAACCAAAAATCATGTCTTGCACAAACCCTCCAAAAGCTTTCTATAATCTTTAAATATCCAGTCCTTACCATAACGTGGCCTCTGACTACCTCTCTGATCTCATTTCTTCCTGTTCCTTCTCTGCAACTGCATCTTCACTTGCCTTCTTGAAGTTCGTGGACTACACCACCCATGGTTTTGCCTCAGGAGTTTGACATCAGCTGCACTTTCCACATGGAACACTGGACACCTCCAGATAGTCACTTTGCTTGCTCCCTCACTTCATTCAGGCCTTCAGCTCCAACGTTTGTTTCATCCCCAGGGATGCCTTCTGTGACCACCCAATCCCAAACTGCTTCTCTCATCATCCTCAAATTCCTTACCCACTTTATTTTCTTCATGGCATATGTTGCTGCTTGACCTATAAGGAATCTGACTGTTGGTGTGGTCTGTCTCCCACACTGGAATGGAAGCACCAGGGGGCCCAGACTGCTTTGTTCAGCATTCCTATCCTGGGGCCTAGACCAGTACTTTGCATGTGGTGAATGCTGAGTATTTACTAAATTAATGACAGGGAAAGAGGCAAATCAACCTCATGAACACCAGCTCATCCCCTTAGTTTGCTTCTCCTTTGAACTTTCTAGTTCTCCAGGTTCCAAGTCTGTGTGATCCGGGCATTTCACCTCTCTTTCCAGGCCTCAATTTAACAGATCATGAAGTATCATCATACCATGCCTGCAGATTACCTTAAACCCCCGTCCTACCTAACTATTCCAATCCCTGGGGAAGCCCTTTCGTAATGCTGAGCCTTTGTGTGCTATCCCACTGCCTGGCAAGCCTTCCTTCACCACTCCAGCTCCTGATCATCCTTTAAAACAAGACACACTGCCTTTGAGGCACATTCTTTGACATACATGCCCTGCTTACTACCATCACTTTCTTTTGTATGTACTCACTCAACGCTTTTCTTATTATGTAGTCAGCAAATTTTAAGCAGATTGTTTTATGCAGATTAGTTTTTTCCAGGATACTGAATGCTGTGTGCCCTGTACCATCCTCCCTCACTCTCATTTCTCCTCCTCATCTCTGTCTCTGCAATCACACTGAAGGTCTCTGTCATGGTAAGCCTGGCCTGTCACAGCAGCCTTCCATGTCTCTACGGCTAGTCTCTCTCCAAATGAATCCACTGTATACCTAACAGGTTTCTTCTGCAACATTATACTGACACGGCATTAACTTCAGTGATTCTCTGTGACATACAACATAAACATTCAGCGTGGCAGCCTGTTTTTATAGACCATTATCTTCTGGTCATCTTGGATCAACCTTTTATCATTTCATCAGAGGCAACTGCTACCTTGGCCAAACAGATCAATCTGCTGTTAATCAACTGGCTCTTGCTTTCTGTCCTGTTTCATGCCTCATAATATTCCCTTTACCTGGAACACCTTCTTCCTTTCACCTTCACAGCTCATTTACTCTCAGAGCTTAGTCCAAATGACCCTTTTTCTCTGCTGGAAAAACTTCCCAGACAAGCTGAAGAAAAAAAGGTCTATCTAATGCAACTTATATAGAATTCATTTTTATCAGTCACCAATAATTGTTTATAACCTGCTCTGTAAGACAGTGTGCATGTGTAATGTGCCTCATCATTCCTGTGAGACTGTCAGAACTTTGGGGGTGGGGGACGAGGAAACACAATTCTTAGTTTTGTCTCTGCAATCTTCATGGAGACCAAAGATTGAGGCATGTAAACCTCATACACTAAGTATCACATCACATACTAAGTAAATAAAAGTGGAGGATTAAAGTAGAATCACTGTATCCAAATATGAAGCTTTCAGGTTTTTCTCTTAAAATCTAGTGAAAACTAATAAATCCTAGTGTTTTTAATGTACATGTAAGAACACATATGTGATATATAGCATATAACATTTTCTTAGGGATTTATAAGTTATGGAGGAAGAAGAAATAAAAATTTTTAGATATAAAGTGAAAGAATTTGGGACCCGTGGATAATTGTGGAACAAAGCCACGGGTAAAAGTGCTGATCACAGTTATTACTTCTCTTCAATCCCGGGGACACAGCAGGCAGACCCAGGAGAAGGAAGGCACCAGCCAATCCTCCTTTACCCTCCCCTGGTGGGCAATCGGGCATCTCTATTTGCTGCATCTTTTACAGCTGCATTCCAAATATATGATGCTTGTAGAATACATGTAGAGCACCCCCCACCGCAAGATGGAAATAAAAATACTTATAATAAAAGGTTTAAGTAAAAAAACAGTGACTCTGGTTGAATCCTAATCAAAGGACAAAGATATTTCAAACATATTAAGCTGTGTAAGACTTTAAAACACAGCAACACAACTCTATTCTAGTAGCCTCAACTCTAGGACATATTCCCATATCTAGAATTAAATATTCTATGACAAATAATTATGAGAGAATAACAGCCCTAATGCCATGTATTACATTCCTGAGTTCTGGCTCAATCTTATGTTAGGCATGGAGACAGGACAATAAGAAACCATTTTCTTAGAGCTGTATGTACCATTCCTTATATAATATACAAAACTACCATTTCCTCATTCAAGGTCCAAAACCTTACAGCCAAAAGCACAACAAAGTAAACTAGGAAACTGGAGTATCAAAGATCAAATCTAGAACAAGCTAAAAGACAATTAATAGTAATTGATGTGATTGCAGCAAAGTTTGATAAAAGAAAATAAAAAAGAACGTGGTCAAATTAAAACTTTGTAGTGAAGGGCTATACTTTTAAAAAGATTTATAAAGATATACTTAGGCTAGGTTTTAACACTGTACCATTTAATGGTCTGTACACATTATAATTCAATTATGTTTGTTTATCTTTAACAAATGTATTTCATATGTATCCAAAATGCGGAAAACCCACCCATGTCATGTCTTACAGGGAGATGGGAACTGGTTACAGTATTTAGAGTCTCAGTTTAAACCCAAGAACCAGTAAAGTAGCAATTTCTTGATTCAAATTCTTTTGAATGATGGCAGTTTTTCTGATATTTTTCACATTTTGGTCCAGGTGGTCCTCCTTCCTGTACAACTCGTTCTTACCCAAATCTGAACTATCCTTCAATGTGCCTTTATAAAGTGTTTTTCATCACTTCAATCCCCAGTTTTCTCTCACCTTGTGCAATTAAGTATACTGTTCTTTTGACACAGTCATATTCTGATGAGTATTTTTGCCTAATTTCTCACATGTATTTTATCTTGTGCTTCCCCAAGCTGATCTTTAAGAACAGCGCCCATGTTTTAGAATTCATGGTGTTTTTTACAGGACCCAGTAATAGTGTTAGAAAGTCTACTTAAAAAAGATACAGTCTTCAGAATAACAGGTAAGTCAGAACAGATTTTTTAAAGTTCTGAGCATGAAAATGAAACCATTCAGTTAACGATGAAAGGAGTTAACACTAAATCCATATAACTGACATACTCTCTGCTAATATATTGAATAAAATCTAAGTTTTTTTAATTTATTATTTTATTTCTGAAAGATGTATTTTCTAGAGCCATAAAGTGAATGTTAGTGAAACTACTAACAGTTAAGATGAACAGATTTTTAGGCTGTTAGTGCTAGAATGGATTCAGAAATTATCTTTAGCTCAACTTCTCCCTTTTTTATGATAAGAATAGAAGTCCAGTGTTTATCAGCCAACTCATCTTGTCATAGTGATTGCTAGAATTGATGCTAATACCTGTATTTCCTGAATTCCAGGCCAGTGTTCTTTCTGCTAAACCATACTATCTCTTCTGGCAAATTAGGCACTATATAAAATGATTGTTACAGGTAAACAAACCTAATAACAACAGTGTAATAAGCACAGTACTTTACTAAAATAATTAACAGTATTAAATATTAGGAACTGTGAAATCAAATTTTGGTTAAACAACACATATCCCCCTCTTATTTAGGCTTCCACATCTTCAGACTACTAGAGTGAGGGGAAAGAGAAAACTCAGTGGAAACATGAACTATACAATGCTAATTTTAGAATACTTTCATTTATTTATGTATATGGACAGGGAACACCAATGAAAATACTAGCCAGAGAAATAAATTGAGGAGTTACGGACTGCACTTAACACCAAGGGAAAGAATGGGCTCAATATGAATATGATGTGAAATGGGAACTTAAAGGATCTTAGGTAAGAGACATGAAAAATATATAATGTTCTTAAATACATATACTATCTTTAAATACATATTTTAAAAATAGAATTATAAAGGCCAAATAAAAGGCTTTAACTCTCCAATGGAAAATCACAATATAATTACAAGGCATTACAAGAAAGCCAACTATTATCAGTAGCTTGCTGTCATGTTATATTATCATTTGTAAAGGGTTTAGTTGCCACTAATTTCCTTTCCTGTCAGTATTGGCAGAGTGGCACAAGGACCATCAAAAAAGGTCTTTTAAAGGTTGCATTCACGATAACCCTAAATCACAAGGTTAAAGTTTACAGGCCATTAACAGAAGTTAATCCATAAAAACACTGGCCATTTGCTTTTATTGGTTAGAGCAGAAATAATTCTCCATTGCCATGCTAAATGGTAGCAGTATTTTCTCTGAAACGTGTTGTTCCTACCTTATACAGGCGTGACCTAGAGATTTGCAAAATTCTTCAATCGCCAATGCTTTTGTACCATTCATATCAGAAAGATAGCCAGGGATGAAGATAACTCCTGGACTTTTGCCTTTTAGCTTCTTATAAGCCAGGTTTGGAAGCTCTGGTCGACTAAGGAAAGAGACTGATGTCTTTTGTCTGCAAGCTAAACACAGCACACAAAACATAAACTATAGTTCACAAATACTGTTTTTGGAAAACCATATACAATTGATCCTTGAACAACACGAGGGTTGGGGTGCTGACCCCTGTGTAGTCAAAAATCCATCTGTTAACTTCTGACTCCCCCAAAACTGAACTACCAATAGCCTACTGTTGATTGGAGGCCTTACAGATAACAGTGGATTAACATGTATTTTGTGTTTATATTGTATTCTTACAACAAAGTAGGCTAGAGAAAAGGAAATGTTAAGAAAATCATATAGAAAATATATTTACAGTAGTGTACTCTATTTTTTGGGGAAAAAAAAAAACAATGTATAAGTGGACCCTTGCCATCAAACCCGTATTGTTCTAGGGTCAATTGCATATTTTCAATTTTAACTTGTCAAACTGATGTCAAAACTACGTCCATTTAAGAGGAAAAACAAAAAGACTTGAAGTACTAAAATCACAAGCTTATGCATGGTATTTTCTGAACTCATCAAAATCAGTGCCTTTGAGCAAGGCACTTGATTCTTGATTCTTCCAAAATACGCAATGAGGAGGAAACTCCAAGGCAATGAAAGCTAGAAACTTATAAAAAATGTTTTCCTGTTGCTGCTGTATCATCTGTCCTAAACAGTATTAATTAATGTTCAGATTTATCTACACTAGTTTTAGTCTTCTATTGTGAGGGTTTTTATTTTTCTAAGTTATTTATTTATTTATTTATTTACTAATTTATTTATTTATTTTAAAAATATTTCACTTATTTATTCTTGAGAGACAGAGAGAGAGAGGCAGAGACACAGGTAGAGGGAGAAGCAGGCTCTAATGCAGGGAGCCCGACGTGGGACTCGATCCCAGGACTCCAGGACCACGCCCTGAGCCAAAGGCAGGCGCTCAACCACTGAGCCACCCAGGCGTCCCAAAAACTTTTTATTTATTTATCCATGAGAGACACAGACAGAGAGGCAGAGATGCAGGCTCCATGCAGGGAGCCAACGTGGGACTCAATCCCGGGTCTTCCGGATCAGGCCCTGGACTGAAGGTGATGATAAACCGCTGAGCCACCAGGGCTGTCCTTGTGAGGTTTTCATAAATTTTTTTCCAGTGTTTGAGGAGTTTCACATTCTCTACTTTTTGGCAGGTTGGAGGAGAAACAAGTTTGGTCTGCCTTGAGATCTTGTTCCAAAGATGGGGGTGCTGGTGTGCCACTTTCACCTTTATCATGGGTGGCTCTCATGCCACCCAGAAAATCATGGGCCATGGCTAATAACCAATCATGATTATTTTTCAGGTGAGGTGGGTTTAAAGAGCAGTTTCTTTACAAGTAACCTCGAATAACTTATAATAGTACTATATTTTGGAAAAAGATTTCTCATGGGGCTCTGCAATCACTTATGTGTTTTATGTGTTGGTCTGGCTTGCTGTGGATGGTACACAGATCTTCACACAATCTAAGTGCAATAGTACAACTGACAAACCTTATATAAGGCTACTCCGTTTTGTTGTTTTTGAAATTTCTTCCCTACCACAGAATCTGTACTTGTTCTTAAAAAAAGGTGAAAAGGCACTTTAAAAAATTGAGTTACTTATAATCCCACCTCCTCCTTCCAAAGAAATTAGGTTTGTGGGGGGCCTGGGTGGCTCAGCTGTTTAAGTGTCCAACTCTTGATTTCAGCCCAGGTCAAGATCTTGGTGTGAGATGGAGGCCAACATCCGGCTCTGTGATGAGCGTGGAGCCTGCTTGGGATTCTCTCTCCCACCCCTCCCTGTGTGCACACACATTCGTGTTCTCTCTCAATAAATTAAATAAATAAATTAATAAATTAATTAATAACAATTAGGTTTGTGTATTTCCTAACAATCTTGTTCTAGACCAACAGAATCTCTTCTACTAAATGGAACCTTCCTCTACTTTATTGTGGCCGATGGAAACATCTTGGCCCCCTTCATGGGGCTGATAAAAGCTTTCTTCATTTTGGATTTGAGGCTTGAACTCATGAATCTGTGATCAAGAGTCCTACATTCTACCAACTGATCCAGCCAGGCAGCCCGAGAAGCTGATTTTTAAAAAACCGAATTAAAGGCCTTAAGGGTCTCCTATTACATATAAGTGTGTTTCAAAGTTTCAGTATATCATGAAATGTGCCAAATTAAAACTTTTAGCAACGGGCAGCCCCGGTGGCTCAGCGGTTTAGCGCCTGCCTTCGGCCCAGGGCGTGATCCCGGAGACCTGGGATCCAGTCCCACATCGGGCTCCCTGTGAGGAGCCTGCTTCTCCCTCTGCCTGTGTCTCTGCCACTCTCTCTCTCTCTGTGTGTGTCTGTCATAAATAAATAAACAAAACCTTAAAAACAAAAAAAAAACCTTTTAGCAACAACCAGGGCTAGTCGGGGCCAGTTATGCTGGCTGGTGGACTGCATTTGCAAAAATGTCATCTTCCCATTTCCTTAAAAAAAAAAAAAATCCCTCCTATCCTCTTCTAGATATTACTTCCCAAAACAGGAATTTCTCCCTCAGACGATTACAACGGACTTCATTTTGGTGAGCTGTAAGTGGACAGGGTTTTCTTAACATTATAAGTGATCTTACTGTATACAACAAGGGTTAGCTCAAACTAACGCTCGGTGATGTGTTGAATAGATGAAAGGCTATCACAACCTAGTTAATGAACTGGCGCACTATACCTCACTAGAGGAACTTAGGTATAAACAAGCCTTTAGGTTGTATCCAATTAAGCATAAGGTTTTTTTTTATATTTTATTTATTTATTCATGAGAGAGAGAGAGAGAGAGAGAGAGAGAGAGGCAGAAGCAGGCTCCAAGCAGGGAGCCTGACACGAGAGTCGACCCCAGGTCTCCAGGGTCACCCCCTGGGCTGAAGGTGGCGCTGAACAGCTGAGCCACCTAGGCTGCCCCCCATAAGGTCTTTTGAGAATGTTATACCAGCAGAAATAATGCCAGCTTGGACTGAAAGGGACAGAGATAGGACAAAATGAAGGACGAGTCAGACTCTCAAAATTCTATAGTTAGCAAACAGGCTTGAAGTTATTCTTCCTTTTCCTTGAAGTCCATGCTTCAGCTGAGTAATTTCATCAGCCTGTTCTTTTATTTTTTTTTTTAAGATTTTATTTATTCATGACAGACACAGAGAGAGAGAGAGAGGCAGAGACCCAGGCAGAGGGAGAAGCAGGCTCCACTCAGGGAGCCCGAAGCGGGACTTGATCCCGGGTCTCCAGGGTCACGCCCCGGGCTGCAGGCGGTGCTGAACCCGCGGAGCCCCCGGGGGCTGCCCAATTAACCATAAGTTAAACTGTGTTATACACATTTAAAAATTTCAACCAAGACCAAGGGTATAAAGCACTGACAGGTTCCACTCCCAGCACAAGCGCACCTGAGAGCCTGTACGTCAAAAACGTAAAACATCACAAAGGCGGAGAGAATTCAAAGACACGATTCAGAAAGAATGATCGTATATACTGCGGGTGGAGCGGGACGGGGAAACAGCAGACTCACAAGATGGAAATACAAGGAAAACGCTGTCGTTTTTGGTGCAGACGCCAGTTTCCTCCGAAGGGTAAGGACTGCGGTCTGCGCTGAGCGCGGAGCCCGGGGAAGGCAAACTCAGACGAGGCTCGACGGCGACGGCTACGCCTTCGCAACGACGACGCCACGTCCCCGCCGTAGGCCCCCTCCCGTGATGCATCCGAATAAAGGGTCAGACCCCTAAACTCCTTGGGCTCCGGGAGACACGAGCAACGGCTGCGCTGCAGACCGCGGCTTCGCTTCCCCGGGGAGGCCGGCAGAGCAGCCGCAGCACGGGTCTGCGGGGACCGCCCGCCAGCGACCGCCCGGGCCGCGCAGCGCCACCCCCCCCCCCCCCGGGCCGTCCTCCCGCCCCCGCCGGGCGGGCGGCGAGAGTGTTTGCGAGCAGGACGCCCCAGACCGCACGAGACAGGCACGTCCGCGAGCGCGCGTGCTTCTTTCTCCCTCCGTCCGGACACTGACCTGGGGGCCACCGCGGAGTCCCCTCGGGCTCCCTTGCGAGCCAGGCGCTGAGGCCCCGGCGGAAGCCGAAGACCGCCGCTCCGCCCCACCTCCAGCAAGGCACCCGGGCGCCCAGAGCCGCCAAGCGCAGCCCCGCCATCTTCGCACCTCGCCGACCCGCACGGCCGCCGAGCGCCGCGACCCGGGCTGCGCATGCGCCGCCGGCCGGAAGCCGGGACTGCCCAAGGGGTACCCGGAAGGGCGGGGAGGGTCCCGCGAGAGCGCGCAGGCGCAGAGCGGTGTCGCCCCCCGCCCCCGTCTTGCCGGGGCAGCGCCCGCGGGACGGCTGCTCTGTGATGGCTTGGGGCGCGCTGAGTGGCCCGGGCGCGGCGACCCCGGTGGGCAGGCAGCCGTTCCGTGGCTGGAGGCGCCGGAGAAGCCGTAAGGCCGCGTTCCAAGGAAACCCTGGCATCGTTCCGGGGGACGCCGGGGAGGGAAGCGCGGGAGGCGAGGCGGCGGCGATTCGAGATGGACGGTTTCAAGCCTTCCCGGAAGTGCTGCCGAGATCTGACCCGAATCCCGCCAACCCCGTCCCCCTCGTTTTGCGCCAGCTCTCCGGATGCCCGACTGCTGAATTTTTGGATTGTTCCCTCCCTTCTCCCGTGTTACGCGCAAGAAAAGAAATCCCAGTGGATGATTGACCTCAAAGGAAGAATAAAATTGAGGGGATTTAAATACGCTTTGGGAGAATATAGTTTGGGAATAGAAGGGCTTTCTTGAGCCTGAGATGGAGCCCTCCAATCCTAAAACAAAAACAAAAAACAACAACAAACTGCATGGGCAAAAGTCCCCTCGAGTCAAATTGAGAGTCTAGAAAAACCAATTCTACAGCACAGAGAACAGAACATTCTATCGACTTGCTCCTAGAAATAAGGGGGAAAAAAATCTATGATTTCAACAGCATTGGACGAGGGCTGTGAATAGGCAATTTGTGTGTAGAGATGTCCAACTTCACTAATTGAAACGTGAATTAAAAAGAAATGACGTTTTTTTTTTTTTTCTCACCCATCAGATTGGCAAAATCTTAAAAAGGCGATTCATGGCAAGGATGCTGGGAAACTGGCACTCGTGTAGGGTTGGTGGGGAAGTTAATTGCTAAATTCTTCCGTCAGGGGGTCTCACCGAATCCATTACAATTTAAAATACAGATCATTTTCAATGTCCTTGACCAAGTGGTCCCGGTTTGTGACTGTCCTGTAGAAAATAATACTAGTTCCTAAGGACACATATCATCGGCTACAGCATCATTTTTAGAAGGAAGCAGCAGAACAAAAAAATAGTCAATAGAAAAATGGTTGCATCAATTGTACAAGGGTTTCTGAATTTTAGCTCTGGCACCCTTCAAATTAGTCCTGGGGGCCTCTGTCGGCACCAACAGGTTTTTTTCTACTCATCAACTCGTTTATTTCTACTTCGGATTACTGTGACTGGTGTAATACTTAAGGAAAGCCACATTAGTATGTTGTCATAAAGTTTGGAGCAATGATTGGAGCTGGAGCTAAGTGCAAAGTTTGCTTATAGTGAATCCGGCCTATCTTTGGAGTCTTGAGAACTTGTCTTATTGGGACATACTAAAAATGTTGGATAATTAAAAATTAAATAGATCTGTCTTGAGTGGTGTAGTGCCAGAAATAGATCGCAAGGAGGGCTGCTTGATTTCAGGACACATTCCAAAAGTTGTTGAGCTGTTGTGCCAGTTCTCCATTAGACCCATTGTAGACTCCAAAGGAACTAAATCGCTACTGTGGTACACCATGCCCGTCACTTCACTATCCCTTCTATCTTAATAATAAATATTTCTCACTGTGGTTTTTGGATAACTGCAAGTCTTCTCGATCATTCCTGTCCCTATTCTGTCCCTTTATTTTTGCTGATCGTCTTGCATTTTATGTACAACAAAATGAAGAAAATAATCTGATCTGTCCCCACAGTGGGAAAAGCACTGTACAAAAACAGGGAAATCCATGGATTGTTTTCTCTGTCCACCCTTATTCATGTAACAAATCAGGAAAAATTGTGGCCAGTGTCAAGATGCTTTTATCCACAGTGATGGGTTTGAAGTAAACCAATTTGTTTCATATCCACTGTCAGTATTGCCTTCATTAACAGGAGTGATAGGCCATATTGTTCAGGGCCAGTGTCTCTCTCTGAAATCTGCTGCCTTAGTCGAGGGAGACAAATGAGGTCACCATCAAGTAAAGCCCTTTACTTCACACCAGCATGATTTTTTCCCTGGCAGAGAAGCAAGCACAGTCCTTGAAATCCCCAGTAACAATTGCGTCTTTGCAAAAAGACAGGAAGATGTCACATTTGTCAGGCGTTAGCTCACTTTGTTAGCAACAGGAATGTGACCAGAGATCAATACTTCAGTTTATAAAACTACAAATCATAATGTTAGCAAACATCATTTTGTGGAGATTCACAATTGACTTTTGCTGATTAATCCATCCCCTGTCATGTCACCAATAGGTATACTCCTAGAGAGAGATGAGTTTATTTTCAAATGTGAAATCTGGTCAACATTTTAATCCGTACGCAACATATTTTAACACACATTTTTAAAAGGTTTACTACATCATGCAAGATATAATGCCGATTAGAATATCTTTATAATCCTATGAAGAAAGTACATTACAGAAAAGCCGTATCTTTATATTAACCAACAAAATTTTAGCAATTGCATTTCACTCTTTTAGATCATTACAGGGTTTAGGGGTGATCTCTGAAAAAACATATTATCAAAACGTCTCTTGCAATCATGACTTCGTCCTCCACTGTTCAAGTAAAATCATGTGTCATCCAGTTGGAAAATCTATTTATTGGCAACATGTATACAGCTCACACTGCAAATTTTTAAAAACTGTACCCCGTCAGGTCTGACAAAGATTTTATGGACGCTGCCAATCTCATCATTTCATCTCGTACTAGTAAGCAAAGCCATTATTTTCTACTTCTATTCATTTGCCAACTTTTCGGAAAGAGTACGTTCATATTTGCAAATACACACAACATGACAAACCAGGATAAATGGCACTGAAAAACTGTTATAAAAGAGACTTGCCTGAAGTCATTTCATTCAACAAAAATTGATTTAACTCAAAAACAAAGCCCAATTGTAAAGAAATACATAATAAAATAGTATATTACAGAGAACATTAGTCAAAGTTCATTTTCTTTTTTATAGAACTATGCTACCTCCGTAAATAAGGATTTTAATTGGTCTGTTCTTTGGTGAAAACAGAGCTCTGATTTCATCGTTACGTTACGTGAGGCTGCAATTAATGGGTGTGTTCCAGAGCAAAGAGGAAACGGACAACCTAAAGGAAATCAGCTCCTGGGTACTTTTATTCTCAGCACTGGGAATAGAGAGATCTTTAGCAAAACATGAAGTATTTTATTTTAAATTGCTCAAAGTGACAGAATGTCTGTCTAATAAGACTGCTCCTGTTTAACACACACAACTTTGTCTTTTCTTCTTTTACAAAAAGTGATTTGCTATATATGTACAGTAGCTTATACCAGAGGTAACTTCAGAGTCAACTTCCTGGACATCTGATGGCATCAAAGTACCATTTTAAAATGTAGAGTAACACTAAATGCGGTTCATCACCTGAAACTACCACTATTAAACAGAAGTCATATCAAGTCTTTGGTTTAGGTGCAGTACTTAATAATTGGGGCAAAACTTCTCCTAAAATATATTCCCCCTCCAAACTCTTATTTGCTTCTATTTATAAAATAACCTTCAGAAAAATGATTTTTAGGAAACCAGTTGATAACTAATGATGTCAATGCCAATACCTGGGGTGCTAAAATAATTTCGTATTTCCAAGTACATACATTTTGTAAACCATTCAGTTTATTTCACCAAAGTAAACAATTGATAAAAAATAGTTTGAAAGAAATGTTCCTATAAGTGATGCTATTTACCAAAATAGTATTTTTTTTTTCCTCATAGGTGCTTCGGTCCTTTTGCTATTTATCATGAAGCTTTGAGTTAAAACCCCCTTTTTCTCTTTTATAAGTGACTTCCTGTTAATATAAAAGGAGTTCCGAGTATACACGGTTAAAGGGATGGGTCTGTTGGGTCTTTTCATCTGGGATTGAATATGGCTTCATTCTTGTAAGAGGTTATTGCAGTTGCCCTGAAGTAGACTGTTGCACCAGTTCGCTACAGTAAGAAGTGGGTGTAACCTTCTGCCCCGGTAACTATAACATCCATCCAGATCCGCATGGCTTCCGGCGATGGCGCAACCATATAATAAATTCTGTCATGGGTCTTGACACTAAAGGTGAGTAATGGATTAGGACTCTAAAAACCAAAAAAGGAAAAAGAATGTGAAGTTAACATCCTGAAATTACATTAAATAATACAGATATATGTGAGGACCTCTTCCTCTTTAAAAGCTCTAATTTATAGAAGTCTAAATTGGTGTCAGTTTTGCTCTAGTAGAACCTGTAACCCCACTTCCAACTCCTTTTCTCAAGACTATCTTTTTGGCCTTTCTGCACCAGAAATCTCATACAGAGAGCTCACTGATCAATCCTCTTAGCAGCTACTTGTAGGGAAAGCTCTAGCTGGGTACCTAGCTCAATATTGAGCTCTAGCTCAGTAAATAATAGCTCTCCTTCTTAGCCCTGCTAAGATTCTTCCTTATAACCAAGTAGTATCTCCTTCCTAGAATCTCACAAAAAATCAATTAACAGGATCTTCTAGGGGCGCCTGGGTGGATCAGTTGGTTGGGTGTCTGCCTTCAGCTCCGGTCACGATCAGGTCCTGGGATTGAGCCCCAAAGCTGAGCAGGAAGTCTGCTTCCTCCTCTCCCTCTGGCCCTCCCCTGCCTCCTGCTCATGCTCTCTCTCTGAAATAAATAAAATCTTAAAAAACAAATATGTCCAGAAGAAGATTTTCTCATTTCACCATGACTTTTTTTTTCCACAAAAGATCAGCTATATTAATTACTTCTATGTCTGTTTACTAGAACCATTATGATTATATCAATCAGTTATGTCAGAACAACAAATCTAAATTGCTTGGAGTTCAAAACACATCTTTTCCCCAACTTAATTATGCATTCAATGATAGAAATCTGAAAATCAGTGTTTACCTTATTAGCGTTCTTGAGGTGATCATAATATACTTCTTCAATAGCTTGGAAGTATATTACTCCTTTTAATTTAGCTTCATGCTTGTCTGCAATAATAGATGGTGTTAAAATGCCTTATCACCACCGATGGACTGAAAACATTATAATTGGATTATAATTATTAAAATATTGATCTAGCTTTTAAATTACGTAAGATTAATTTGGATAATTTAGGTGAAGGGCTTATAGCCCAGTTTCCATACTGAAAAAAACAAGAAAAAAAAGTAATTATCAGCCCAAATCTCAGGGACTAATTGACTTTGCCCAAGGCTCTCCAGTGAATCTGCAGTCAAAAGACAACTCAGAATTACCAATACTCAAGTTAGCTTGCAAAGTCTAAAAACACCACTGACACTGATACAAATTATCTCCCCACATTCTCCAAACAGTGGTTGTCATGGAAACATTAATATGTAGCACTGTTGTAATGAAATTTGTAAGAAGAATTTTTTTTTTTCTAATTTAAAATAAGTAATCTACTGATATTTCTTTCCTATGAATTTCTTGTCCGGCATGCTTTTTCTCCTGTTCCCAGTAGAGTTTCATGTCAAAGATTTAAGGTCCTTTCAATGCAGCACTTTTCCAAACCATTTCTAAGATTTCATCAAATTTGCCATAAAAACCAAACAAAAGTAAAATAAAACAACCAACCAACGAAACCACTAACTAAACAGCAACGCTCTGTGATCTAATACCTTCTTGAAATATTTTGTGAGTCAAACTCGGCAAAGATCATAAATGTGTGTGAGCGTACTAAAGAATTTTAAAGGCACGGATGAGGCTGCAAAGAAAAAGACTCTATCATATCCTGCTGGTGGAAGGGCAAATCAGAAAGCTTTTGGAAGGCAGTTTGGGAAAACAAACCAATTAAAAATGCAAAAAATCCTCTCTCAGGAATTCCATTCCTAAAATGTTATTGTATATGAGCTACTCATGCAAATGGATTTGTGTTCATTATAGCAGAAAGCTGCAAAAAATCTGCTTGAATTTTAACAGGGAACTGATTCAACTATAGACTGGCCATACAGTGGAATTGACAAAGCCACTGAAAAGATTGGATCTGCATATACTCATCAGAGAAAAATCTTGAAATACTGTTAATGTGAAAAAAGTTAGGAAGAAAGTGAATAATTTGGTCCCAATTATATTAAAGAAGAAAGAATTCATATATATACTGAAAATATATATAAATGAATAGAGTAAATCTGCAAAGATTTTTTAGACTTGACAATGGGAAAAAGTTACAACTTTTATGATGCCAAAGAGACTTTCATTAGACTTTTGTTCTACTTTTAAGATTTTTACTCATGAATGTCTTTTTTTTTTTCAACAATGAGAAGCTAGTCTAAAAAACCACAGCCCCGATAAATTCAGTGGAAAATAAAAGCTGTTAAATGACATTTAACTCCGCATTTCCCTAAGTTACTTGCCCATGTTTGACCATGGGCCATATTTGCATGTGTTTGTTTTGCTCCTCCTCGGGAAACTGTTTTAATTAATGCCACATTCAGTGGGTTCCAATCAATTTCTGTGAAAGAGGTCAGTGTATCTCTCAATTCTGAAGGATTCTGCAACTATTAATGGGAATACAGTTAACACTTTATTTTCTGAAAACAAATGTAAAACAAAATCTGAAGATAAAAGCAAATCGTATGAGTGTTTCAAGGAGGCAGAAAACTGGGGAATGAAACTTTTGTTTAGAGGGCACTTCCTATATGGGCAAGAGCTCTAAAAAAAATACTGGCCTCACAAGGACATTGTGAACTAAGAGAATCAATAATGCTATCGCGAATCGACACAATAAAGCTATTTATCATTCAATTTCCATAGCATTATCCCATCAATTTACAGATATGTTTTCTGTGTCTGTTTTCTTTAGAGACTCTTGTAAGGTTATCCAGTTAATATGCAGGAGGCCAGGGGCACGATTGGCTCTTGTCAAGACTTTGGGCTCTTGTCACCACTTACAGCTCCTTTTGCAAACACGGTGCCTTTCTACCCCACCACCAGTGGAAGGGCCGTGGCGCCTGTGGGGTCAAGTCCAGCCTGAACTGCAATCTGTATGGCCTCCTGTGGACCCGCACTTAGTGATGTCTGGGGAGAGTGGGGGTGGGAGTGCGGGGAGCAGACCAGCCAATGATGGCTGGAAACAGCCAAATGAACAGCGTTTGTCCAACTAGGACTCACTGGTCAGTCGTATACGTATTTGATATACATATTAAAAAGCTGAATGAAATATTATTTTTGCTTTTCTTGTGTAAGACAGTTCTGAGTCATCATTCATATACCAAAAAGGTTTTGGTTCTTAAAAAAAAAAATCAAAAACAAATCACCAAGAAGTCTGAATTTGGAAAAATGCATTGACATGGTCAGAAGGAGCGAGAACTGAGTAACTGACCAAGAGACGAGGCTCTCAGAGACTTGAAGAGTGAAGCTGTTCTGTCTGAAGTTAGTAATGAGAATTTTATTTTTGGACAATTCTGGGTGAGAGGTTGGGGAGATTATCACAGAGGCAAAGTTTTGTCTATGGATTTCTGCAGACACTAAATTGGCATTTCTCATTAAACTAGCATCTTTTCTGTTGTACTAACTGAAGAGAACATCTCTGGATTTTCAGAAAGCCCGAGAGAGGCAAGCAGGGAAGCCCTGAGGGTTAGGCAGTTCGCTTCAGGCCGCTAGCCACTGCATTAACTGGAGCCCCACCAAAGAGCTCCTAACTGAAAGGTACACACCCCGCCCCCTGCACACCCCAATTCTGGGGCCCCACAGCCAGTGTTTCCCTTCTTCCACATGCTTCTTGGTCACTCCCCCTTCTCTTCATAAACATATCCTGACCTCACACTATAGATTAAGTGACCGGACTGTTATTTCTTATTGATTGCAGTGATATAACAATTTTTGACAATGCACACATATGTTGGTACCATCGCCAGAGAGAAGGGTCTCTTCATCAGCTCTGGGGCGGTACTACTTTTCTTCGGTTGTTGAAGAGGACAGAGCTACACCTGGGCCGACAATGGTCATGTTTCATATGTGACCCAGAAGGCTTCTTAATAAGCCTTAATAAGCAGTTACATACATATTCCTGTATTTTTAGATTCAATAGGGTATATTTCTCATAATCCACCATTTAAAGAATCCAAAAAGATTTCAGTCACTTAATAAATACTTGTTCGCTTGTTCAGCGATGAGCTTTACTCTCTGCTTCAGTAACCATTCTCGTTTATAAACTCTAGCTGAGTGACTGTCAGCTAAGGCTGCCTAATTGTGTGTGACTTAAATAGGGCAGAGGACCATAAATAAATAAACGGCAACCTTTTTTCCTAGCCTTGCAGTTTAAAAGTCAATATTTTGGTCTAAAAAGATAAGTTCCATTTACTACTTATTTGTACTTCAGCTTATTTCAGAACTAGAATAGACTCATATTTTTTAAATAACATAATTTTTTTTATTATTTCTAGAGAAGATCTTCATATCACTGGGACTATATAACCTGAATATAAAATAATATATACCTAAGCTAAGATTGTCATTAATTCTATTACTTACCAATCAACCCATTCATACTGACACTTATCACCTTTGCTCTTTAACAGAGAGTTCTTGGTTTGAAAAGATCACTTAGGGTTTTCTTCTTTTTTTTTTTTTTGAAATCACTCACCTGCATAATAAGAGAATGTGCGCTTGTTCCGATCAAAAACAAACCATCGTTTTTTCCACGTTTTAATTTTTCCACCCATTTTGATAAGGAATCCTCGGCAAGTCTTCTCTGTGATTGACACATGATAACAGGTATCAATATTGTGGCCAGCAGTCTCTACGTGGCTTCGCAAATCAAAGTCTTCCTTCCGGACGGGCAGATAGCGTGTCAGAGGTCGAGCCTGGAAAGGCACAGACCCATGTCATATATAGCTAATTATTTGTGTCACTGAAGGTCACAGATGTTTACGGGTGGACATGAACTGAAAAGCCTAAGCATTAAAATGTTCATGTGATTATGAGAATTTAAGATACACATTATCCTTTGGAGTTTAAAAAATGCATAGTATTTTAAGAAGGATGCTACAATACACAGTGGGGGAGATGAGGGAGTGAGGGGTGGATGAAGTCAGGCGAATAGATTCTACTCCTTGAAATGGACAGATGAGAAAATGGCAAGATGCTCAGGTTAATAACCTGAGGTTTATACTAGGTGCTTAGCACTTAGAAACAGGGAATCAGGGGATCCCTGGGTGGCTCAGGGGTTTAGCGCCTGCCTTTGGCCCAGGGCACGATCCTGGAGTCCCGGGATCGAGTCTCACATCGGGCTCCCGGCATGGAGCCTGCTTCTCCCTCCTCCTGTGTCTCTGCCAATCTCTCTCTCTCTCTCTCTGTGTGTGTATCATAAATAAATAAATAAATAAATAAATAAATAAATAAATAAATCTTTAAAAAAAAGAAACAGGGAATCATATGAGGCATGAAGTTCCCTGGGCTGCCTCCTACAGATGACGATTCCTTCTCTCAGAAGTTCCCCAGACTTCCATCTATACAGCCTAACAGACATGACCTGATTGGTAAACATTATTTAGTAAGCATACCACCCCCCCCACCCCGAGCAAGATATCCCAAAGCTGTACACATCGGCTTACACATACTCTCTCATAGAAACTGAAGGCAGAAATGTACGCTTTGAAAAGTGAAGCTAAAATAAGGTAAGCAGCAGAATCAAAGCTGTACTCCATGAGCTGTCCAATGAACACATATGGACAAGATGTACCTAGATATCTTTCATTTTACTATGGCTGGAGGAAAGTTTCATGTAATCTATGAAGCATGTAACACCATGGGTCATATTTCGAAAATGGTTTTTTAGTTTATTCTGTTAAATAACCCTACCCCTCTGGCCTGGGGGAAATGACCTAAATATATACTTGGAGGCAAACCTTATAATTAGGATTAAAATAGAATTATGCTTTTTGGTTTAGCTTCAAAATGCCAAACAGGCATGGATGATCTTCACTGTGAATCACGATTTGGCAGAGGGTTGACATGATGAAATAAAATGAACAAGTTTTCCTTTGTATTTTTCCTTCAATATCTTGCCTTTGATTCTGGGGTACTTGACTTCAGACAGATGTCACACTTACTGATACCTCAAAGCACACAGTCTTCAAAATAGACTCTCGCTGCTGTGCTATCAAACTGCTGCCAACCATAAAGAATAAGAGAAATGGCACCTTTTATGAAGTCTAGTAAACCTTGGCAAAATGGGTTTGAACTCGAAGTCAAATGGCACTGCAAAAAATTATATTTTAGTTCCTCAGCAAACATATATTATGTAAGCAGCTTTAGTGACAGAAATTCAGACTCTCTGATAAGCAGGTCAGGAAGTTTACGGAAGTGGGTGGGTTGCCTGAGTTTTGCTTGAGTCCAGTGACCTTGCACAAACATGTGTGGACAGCTGTGGCAAAGGGGCCACGTGTGACAATACCTACAGTGGTTAGAAAAACAAAAACAAAACCAAAAAGCCCACGAACACTACCAAGAAATTGGTTTGGTAAAATTATTTTGTTCTGGCGTGTTTGCTTCCAAAAATGGCTTAATAGAACCCTTTCTCTTCTTCAGCCAAAGGGTTTTATTTGTTTTCAGTAGCAAGTCCAGCTGCATTTTTTTCAAAGCTGCTAGAAAACCATGCTTCTTTGAAGTATACCGCAAAAAAACGGGTAGCAGAAAAAATGCTTCTCCCATTAAAATGTACCATGCAGGAGTAGAGAAAAGTGGCATTTGGTTTGTAGATCTCAATCAGTTTTGAGATAAACACACTTTTTTTTTTGGTCTCTGAACTCCCCATCTGCCTCTTGTGGTTCCAAGGTGCAGGGAAAGGCAGCGGGACACAGCTCGGCCGTCTTCTACAAAATGACCACCAGGGGGCAGCCTATTCCAACCCATCCGGACCCACTGACCCACCTGTGCCCTCTGTTTCTCCCTTATTTTTACTTCCTTCTCAATTAACTTCTGCCTCTGGCTAGTTTCTTCCTGCAATCGTTTTTCCAGGAGTTCTCGGCGTCGTTTTTCTTCTTCCAGGGCTCGTTTCTTGGCTTCCATTTCCCGTTCCTAAATTTGCAGAACAAATTTTAAGACAAGCTGGTTATACTAGAATGCTTCCAAGGAACAGAAATTTCTCTCCAGACAGTTGGTTTTGCAGCCCGGGCTCTAACAATATACCAGCTGGATTAAAATCACCTCTTCGCTCCTGCTTTGGTTTTAATAAATATTTTGATGGTGAAAAAAAAAAATCACCTCTCACATAGTTTTCAAAATCATCCCACACCAGAAAGGCAACTGCAACATTTAATTGAATGCTAACTCTACACATAATGTGTATTCACAACTGAATATTAAGTGAAAATCCAGCTTGTGGTATTCAGTCATTTCATACAGATGATCACCACGCTCCTGTTTATAAGAAGGGTCACAAATCATCACCCAATACTAGTCTGGGCGTTAGCACTCCTTGCAGGGACCATCTTCTAAGTGAAGGCCATCAGTCCTGGTCCTTCCTGGTCCTTTGTTGCTTTGCGGCTTCCTGGCCAAAGGTCACAGAGGAAGCCCACAAGGAAGTCAGAAGAGGAAAGGAGGGGCCCTTTAAGGCAGGATGCAAAGGCATTTGGGGGGATTCCTAAGGAAGTTCAGATGTGGGCTCGAAATACAGTCACAATAATGTGGGATTTTAAGTATTACAACAGCACACAAGCTGGCAAGAAAGGGGGAGTACATATAGACATGACATTCATCCTGGTTCCCTGGGAGGCAGACAAAGTGGCCATCAAAGGGAAAATACAATAATAAGCACTGCTTTGGGTCCACGTTGACACTATATGTATTTTAAATCACAAGAAAACTATAGGGCAGCATGGAGGCTTAGAAATCCTCTCTAACACCTTTACTTTTCAGATGAAAAAAATGAGGCCAAAAGGGTTGAGCGACTACTCCAAGATTATATTGCTTCTTAAGGTCAAGGATAATTTCCTGTCAAGTGCGGGGCAGTTGGAACCGTTCTCACCGACCTCTGGCATAAAGACATTATGCCTACCCTGGATTCAAGCAGCCGGGTCTTCTCTGCATGAGCCTGCTTCAAAAGTCTCTCCATTTCTTCTATTCTGGCAATATTTGAAGTGCTGGCACTGAAGAGAACACAAAAGCCTTTTAAGAATATTGTTTGAGATTGACGTCTCTTGAAATACACACGCGTCCATGCACAGGCACGTGCACACACCAGTCCTGGGGAGGTGTATGATACGATCCAAAGTCATTTTAAAGGATGTTACTTAGGAGAGTCATTCACCTGAACAGGCAAGTCAATTCAGCTCTGGAAATTGTAGGTGCCATTGATTTACCTCAGTTTAGGACACAAAATATAGGCAAGGAAAATAATACCAAAGAAGAGTGATTTACTCATAAAGAAACCCAAAATCTTACAGAGTATGTTCTCAAAATGCTTTTTTCCAGAGTCTAAAAATAATGGACCATGGGAGGCTTTCTTGTTGCTTTAATCATTCAGACATATCAGACCAATAAGCCTATCACCAAAGTTCTATGTAGATGACACCTATGGTTTGAAGTCACTTTATTTGGTTTGGAAATATGTGTCCTCAGCTGCTTTTTTGCTATGTCTTTAAACACATGGACATTTTAGGGAGAGCCTGGCTGGCGCAATTAGAAGAGCATGTGACTCTTCATCTCTGGGTCATGGACATGAGCCCCACATTATGTGTAGAGATTATTTAAAAATATACATAGATGTGGATATTTTATTTCATACATCATGAGGTCAATTAAAAAAAAACTTTTCTTAAAGATGCAGCAGAAGAGTGATGGATAGTTTTGTCAATAATACTCTTTTTTTTTAAAGATTTTATTTATTCATGAGAAAGAGAAAGACAGAGACAGAGACACAGGCAGAGGGAGAAGCAAGCTCCATACAGGGAGCCCAACATGGGACTCGATCCCAGAACTCCAGGAACATGCCCTGGGCTGAAGGCAGTGCCAAACCACTGAGCCACCCGGGATGCCCTGTCAATAATACTCATCTACCATACTGATGAGGAACCTCTCTGAAGAGATTCGAGAGCTTCAAAAGAAATGTAATGAGAAAGACATTATATAACAAAAGAAAGAAAGAAAAAAACTAAAAGGTATAAAATCTGCAAGAACAGTTAGGGTCAGTAACTAAAAGAGAAAGAAAAGAACTTGGAAATGTTTAACATTAACCCAAAACTATTATTTCTCTCTTACATTTCTCTTACATTTTATTTGAGTGCTCTGGAAAAAAGGGCATGACCTAGGTCAAAACTTCTTTAGTCTGATGCTCCAGCTATAGAGAACCAAAGTTATTTCCTATGCATGTAGATTAATCTAGTCATTTAATATATGTCCACTTTTCTAGACCCTCTTGGGGACAGAGAGGCTTTTGTGCCTGTATCTTCTATAGCATGTCACACAGAAGGGGTTCACGTCAGACGCATTTATATAAGAATGACTTCATATGAAAATGAAAAGGATAATTCTTAGTTACAGTCTCTCAAAATTCTATTGTTGATCAACTCAAACCTAGGATGTTTCACACATAGAGCTAAATTCCTTTACAGAGATAAATGTCCACAGTATATATGGTTTATTTTAAAATCAGTAGCAGCAGTTTTATAGCCACTTTATTCCTAACTGCCAAAATTTGGAAGCAACCAAGATATCCTTCTGTAGGTAAATGAATAAAATAAACTGTAGTACTTCCAGACCATGGAATATTATTTAGCACTAAAAAGAAATGAGCTAGCAAGGAAGAGACACGAAGGAACCCTAAATGCATATTACTAAGTGAAAGAAGCCAATCTGAAAAGGCTAGATACTGTATGACTCCAGCCTTACAACATTCTGGAAAAGAGAACCACGGAGACAGTAAAAAGATGCATGGTGGCCAGCGGTTTGAAGTGATGAATAATCAGAGCACCCAGGGTTTTCAGGGCAGTGAGAACACTCTGTATGACACTATGATGAGAGATATATGACATTTTACATTTGTCCAAACCCAGAGAATGCACAACATCAGATGTGAACCCAGTTGTAAACCATGGACTTTGGGTGATAATAAAGTATCAACATGGGTTCATCAGTTGTAACGAATGTACCACTCTGGTGGGGCATGAGGATAACCTGGGAGGCTACATATGTGTGGAGATGGGGTATATGGGAAATTCTGTACCTTCCTCTCAATTTTGCTGAACCTATATAACCACTCTAAAAAACTGTTTTTTAGAAAGAAAAAAAAAAGATCAGTGCTCCCAGCCCCATTACAAACTGCATCCATCCAGGAAAGGGTCAACCTTAGCAATGTTGTATCCTTAGGAGTTTAGCTAATCTCCTACTTTGCAAGGTTACATTGGGCTAATTTTTAGCCAGATGTGTTCTCCTTATAAAGAGAGAACAGTTCATTTCCATGGACTGTTTGGGGTGGTACAAAAGGGTAAGTTCTGCTCTCTTCAATCCGTAAGAATTAAAGAAGAAAATCTTTAATTTTTGCACAAATTAAAAGTGTATTTCTTTTTACGGAGAACAGTCAACATCATAGATGCTAAAGTGGCACACCTCATCAGCTCAACATGATGAGTATCATGTTTATATTCTATAGTGTTTTCTGTGACATATATGTCACAGACACAGGTATGTATGTCTTATGTCTCCTATCAATTTGTAAATAAATAATTTGATTCCGCTAAGTCTCGGGTCTTAAAAACTCCCCAACTAAAGAAACAAAAACAAGCACTCACCAATTGTCTAACCCCCATCTGTTCTTCAGTTTTTTCTACAACATACTGTTTTCATCTAGGTTGTGCCTGAGCGTCGTTAGTTACAGAAAACTTTCTGTATCCATCCCTTCATTGTTTGAACCACATTCTTAGAATGTTGATACTTAAGTTGAACCAAAATCTATCTTCCTTACAGCTTCCATGCACTGGGCCTAGGTATGACCTTGAGTTCCCTGAAACCTATCCGGATGAATTGGTTGGAAATTGGTTAGAAACAAATATTTTCAGCCTATGGTTTTTCATATATCTATAATTTGGGAACATCCTGGGGGTAAGTTTTCAAATAGTTGCTTGTCTTCAAATATTTCTGTTCACTTTTTAGAATTTTTGAGGGTGTTTTCCATTTATTTTTTAATATTTATAATTAAGTTTCTGCCAATGATAGTCATTATTTGGCAATATTTACATAAATATCTTAACTTTTGCTCCAAAGGAACTCAATTTTCTGAAAACATTTGATAGAAAATACATGTTAACATTTACCACCTCGTGTCTTAATAACCTTTAGGTCACCTATTTTTTTAAGCCACCTTTTATATGTTTTTAAGACCATTTTGGTTATTTTGTTGAGAAAAATAAATTGTATCCACAGACACCTACTTGTTCTCTATAGCTTTTGCTATCTTTGATTTTAATATTTCTTTGACATGTAAATCACTTTTATTTAGCAAAACTTCTGCTGCTCTGTGATACTATGTCACGGCCAGTTTTATTTTTTTGTCCCATCAGGATTGCACACTGAAAAGCACAGGCTGCTGCAACAGGAATGTAGGGAGAAGTCTCGGCTTGTCAATACCATGGCATCCATGGCAGATACAAATGTCAGCAAGCAAAATTCTTAGTACCTGCCATGCAAAAGGAGAGTCTGAAATCCCTGAAGATAAGCTTTATAGTGGGTGATTTACAGCACAATACTCATCTTTGTTTTCTCAAGCCCATCCGAATTATGAGGAGTAATGTTTCTTTCCATTGCTTCAACTTCTGGCCTTCTTCAAAAGTAGGCAAAAATTTCTGATCTTGCATGTGATTCCTGTAAGGATGCTGGTGCTACTGAGTCATCGGGCCATTAACAGTATAAAGATGACTAGTTTTGACATTTTTTCATAGTCAATGATGTTCTGCTATTTTGTCAACGAAGATTTCTTTCTGTATCCTACCAATTTTGGTAAAAACCATATTCATAAAGAAAAAAAAACACACTCCCATCAAGGGTGAAGGAATCTAAATAGCAGATTTGAGGTTTTCGGGGCTTTTTAGAACATTCACCTTATAGGCAAAGGCAAAGACAGAAAAACATTAGAAAGACAAAGAACAACGGCATACAAGAAAGAAATAAGTAAGGAAAGAAAAACAAAACTAACTGGAACAAAACAAAATTCCTCATCAAGACACAGAAAACTTTTCCAAGACTGTGACTGGTGTACCGATATTGCCATTAAATGAAGAACCAGTAAATATCCCGGAATATTTATTTTCAATGAATCTTTCCAAGTACTTTCAGCAAATTATTAGTCCTTATGAAATGTCTAATCGTTCTCTGTTCAGTATCTCCTTGAATATTACAAGAGCACAACAAGCCCTCTGACCCTTCCTAACCAATATTCACGTGGTTTGAAACACCCAGTCCCTCTTGACAGTTGGCTGCCCCTGTCCCTCTACTATCACTTTGGTTTTCTGTATCTCTTCTGGAAGAACTTGCTAGAATAAAATGCAGACACTGGGTGTTGATTATCTAGAATGAAAAGCAGAATACAACCTTTTTACCAAAAATGAACAAATCAGAAGCATCTGAAATTCGAACTAAAGCATCCCTTAGACCCAAGTTCAGCCACGGATTGCCCTCAACTGCACAGCCAGTCCTGCTCCCTGCCCCACATGCACACTGCTGGTACGTAAGCTATAATGAAGGATCAAATTCCCTAACATTTTCGCCAAGTATGAGCACAAGGCCAGGGCTTAGGAAATTAGTAATAGCAATTGTGATAATAACATATCATTGTAGGCGGTATGCAGAACACTACACAGTCTAAGCCAAGCCAGTAATTTCAGCAGAATAGGGGTTTTATGCAGAATTGACTCTCGGCTGCTGTTTTCTATGACCCAAGACCTGTTTTCTTAACTTTTTGTTTGTTTCTGGTGTGAGGAATGATGCTGAAAAAGCAAACACACTGCCTAACTCAAGTGACTTACTGGTAGACGTAAAAATGATGTCTCAACAAAAAGCAAAGGGCCCAATGTACCCTTAACTCTGAGTAATTCTGTAATTCCACGAATGGCTTCCTGTGACATAATAAACCACAAGACTAAGTTTCTGACGCTAGAATTTCACCATGGAATTACATCTTTAATATACTTATCCTTTCAGAATATTTTAATACATAGCTTTAAAAAATATCTAACAGAGAAAATGTTTTAGCCCTTTCTTTCTCTTTCTGACTTCAAAAAGTTCTCATGAAGGATGTGTTGTCATAATATACATTCCAAACATTAGTTTCTTATTTGCCTGATGTTTGCCATATTCTTGTCCATCAGAAGATTGTGTACAAGCTGATCTTAGGGTAGTGTGTATTTTTTAAAAAAATAAATGGTGGTACAGAAGAAAAATGTTTCTCTCCTCCTTTCAATACTAAACCTTTTACAAGTATCTTATACTTTGGATTCTTCTTCTTCTTCTTTCCTGTGTGTGTGTGTGTGTGTGTGTGTGTGTGTGTGTGTGACATTCAGAGGGTCGGATAGCACAACGAAATAGATACTATTGGTAATTTCTGACCAATATGGTGACTGGTTATCTGTGATTGCTAGAGCCACTGGGTCAGGTCTGCATGAACTACATATACAAAATGATCGTGATCATGTGTAACTAGCTGCCAGGAATGCCCTACGGTGATGCTGTCCTTTCCATTAGGCATATTTAGTGGAATCATTCTCATTCTCTACCTCTAGAAATCACTTTAAGAAAAAGCAACTGGGCAAGCAAATAAAAATAAATTAAGTTCTGGGGCACCTGGGTGGCCCAGTGGTTGAGCATCTGCCTTTGGCTTAGGTCGTCGTGATCCCCGGGTCCTGGGATCAAGTGCTGCATCGAGCTCCCTGCGGGGAGCCCGCTTCTCCCTTTGCCTATGTCTCTGCCTCTCTCTGTGTGTCTCTCATCAACAAGTAAATAAAATCTTTAAAAAAAATTAAGTTCTTGCCCTGTCACTGTGCTTAAGTGTTCAGATTTGAGTGTGTAATTACGATCCACGTGGATCCTTTTGGGATAATTTCCTGTAGCTACTGCTGCACAACTGCTGTTCATCACAATTAAATATGAGAGATGGGGAGTGAGTATTTGAAGGGATGAATATTTACTTTCAATTTTTGGGAGGGGAGTAAAGGGCAGGGAGTGGAAAAATGCCAAGACAGGAAAATGCTTAGAGTCTATTTCTTTACTAAAGATGAACTCAAAAATGGACAGATAGGGGCGCCTGGGTGGCTCAGTCGGTTAAGTGTCTGACTCTCCTTTTTGGCTTAGGTCATGATCTCAGGGTCCTGGGATCAAGGCCAGCCTCGGGCTCTGTGTTCAGTGTGGAGTCTGCTTCAGATTCTTTCTCCCTCTCCCTCTGCCTCCCCCCCCACTTTCTGTCAAATAAATAAAAATCTTTAAAAAAAATAGATAAAAAGGTCAAGCGATCAAGAGTTCACCAAAGAAATATTGGTCTAAAATATTCACAATTATTTGGGAAGAGGGAAGAAGAGTCTGCTGTTTTCAAAATAAGGACGAAGTACAAAGTGCCATAGAAGCACGGGAGCCCCTCTGACAATGGGAATCTGAACTGCTGCGTCCTGAATTCTCGCTCTTAATGCCCACTTCTATTCCTCCTGTTACTGTGGTATCATAGTTGCTGGGTTGCTGATGCTTGTGTCTTGTTATCCAAAACACCACATGTGATTAGTCAGTTTATTGTCATCTATTAATAAGTACTCAAACTTCTAAGCTTTCTGTTCTGACAGTGTCAGCTCCCGGCACCTGCTGGCACAGCTGGGACAAGTTCAGGGCAGCGAGTGTCACCAGAGCACCTTCAGTGCCAGATGGTTTGTGCCCAACCCTTCCACACTCTTAAGTGTATCCCCCCAAGTAGTCATATTAAACTTCTTAAAAAGTGAGATACTGCATCTTCTAATATTTAACATGAAACATTAGTCCTTCTAACCTGAAATAATAATGGTAACCTCCCAAAAGGCTTTATCTTTAAAAATATATTTATTTATTTATTTATTTTTGGGGGGAGAGGCAGAGGAAAGAGAGAGAGAATCTCAAGAAGACTCCCCTGCTGCACATAGAGCCTATGCGGGGCTCATTCTCATGACCCTGAGATCATGACCTGAGCTGAAATCAAGAGTCAACGCTTAACCAACTGAGCCCCCCTGGTGCCCCAAAAGCCCTGTTCTTTATCATTACATAATCTCCTCTTTCAATTTAGGTCATTCCCGTGTGACAAGCAGCAATACAATTCTCATTGTTGCTTCAGTATTTTTTCTCAAAGACTCCTTTCCTTCTCTGATATGATATATTCAATAATATTAATATTTCACCCATTAATGCCAAAATGAAACTATACTGCATGCTTGATTTACCACAAAATGTAGCATCTGTCCTCTTCTCCTTTTCCCCCAGCCCTAAAATTTCCTAGTTATAATGTCTGGTTACAGTTGGGTCTTTCATATGCTTTTCATTTTGAAATATGAAATAACCCAAAGCTAAGTACACCTTGCTGGTATTACTTTCCCTCTGTCTCTGTCATTCTCTTATTGTAGGTGAGGAAAGAGCAAATTATTCAAATCTTTGTAAAGAAATAAATTATATTTATATGATGGTAATTTTCCATTGTAATGTTTTAAAATCCATCATTGTCTTGTATTTAAGAAACAACCTTTCCATTTCACAGACTAGGAAGCAATTCAGGACCAAGAACATTCTGTGACCTGCTTCAAGTAGCATGACCATCACCCAAATAGCACGAGCATTCCTGCTTTCATGCTGGGGTTTCCTTCCAACAGAGGGAATTCTGTTGATGGCAATTATCCAAGCGGACATTTGTATTTGGGATATGCAAATGCTCAAGTAACACTTATTGAATATTGAATGTTTCTTAGGCTGAAACCATAATGGTTCTCAGCTGATTAAAATAGATCAAACAAAAATTAAAAAAATAACAAATTGGAAATATATCCATTTTACTATATCCTGAAGTATTTATTGAGCCAACACTCAGTGAATACCCACTATCTGCTAAGATCTCTGTTGAGTGTAGAAACCAAAAGATACTTAGACATCCTCGTTGACATTGAAGAATTCACCAATTAATTACTGCAGAAAAAATTTTATACTGCAGTGTGATCAATGGTATAACAGATAAAAGAATCAACTGCAGTGCAAACAGAAGAAAAAGGCCCTAAAAGAGAAATTTTCATGAATTTCCAATTTAAGTTTAAGCCTGAAGGACAAGGAAGTTTCTCCAGGCTCAGATGGGACAGGGGGAGGGAGATGGTAAAGATACTCTACAATACCAGACACTACCAGTGCTTAGTAAGCATAGATTGAGTGAATATACAAATGGAAGGATAAACTGACTATAGACAGTGTTGTGCTGGTAACTCAGCTCTCTGGAGGGAAATAAAAACCCTGATACATAGCAAATGTTGATTTGTGGGGAGTAAATACTCCCACCATGGCCAATTTCCAACTACCAACATGACTTTACTGATTATACATAGAGGGAAATATGCAAATTTGGTACTTGCTAGTGTGAGTATAGAGCTAGTATGAGCCAATTCCACTCCACTGTTGACTCTAGAGCACTCTATAGGTGCTCTATAAGATGCTGTATAGGAGCACTCTATAAGGAACCTATAAATGAATGAATGAACAAACTACCTGATTCCAGGCCTGGGACCAATATGGTCAAAGGCACAGAGATTTGAGTATTCATCACCATCTCAATTAATAAGAAACCCTGTGAGGTGTATCAGGAGCAGAGAGTGAATGAGGAGCCGAGATGGATCCAGAATGCAGACTCTAGGGCATGACTTTACTCAAAGGGTAGTAGGGCATCATCAAAGCTTTCAAAGGGGCAGAGTACCATGACTAGATCTATATTTTAGATGTGCCTTTAGCAGTAATTCCATTAAGACCATCTTTGCTTGCCTCAAAGTATGAACCCAAATGTGAATGGTTAAACCCTTACAAAAATTCTAGTATGTGGAACAGCTAAAGTCTTCCTTCTAATGAAACATAAGTGTAAGAAATCCTTCAAAGTTCATACTATGCTGTTGGAAATTGTTTCTTCATTCAATCAAAAGAAGACCTAATGAGGCTTGAAGTCAACCAACAGAGGAAGCACAGTATACACGTGAACTCAAATGTAAAGAAATAGAGTAAAGGAGAAAAATGGATTTTATGATGTCTGACTGGCTAAGTCACACAGGATACAAAGAAAACACTTTGAAAGGCTGCCACGACACTCAACCCTCTTCCACCCTGTAGACGGTTTATGTCTCAGAAGTTTGGGCTTGTACATGTACATCACCCCAAATTGATGACTTTACTCTTTGAAACCAGCAGGTGCTTTTCTAAACCAGAAACCTGGGGATCCCTGGGTGGCGCAGCGGTTTGGCACCTGCCTTTGGCCCAGGGCGTGATCCTGGAGACCCGGGATCGAGTCCCACGTCGGGCTCCTGGTGCATGGAGCCTGCTTCTCCCTCTGCCTGTGTCTCTGCCTCTCTCTCTCTCTCTCTGTGTGTGACTATCGTAAATAAATACAAAAAAAAATTAAACCAGAAACCTTAATCATGAATACGTCATCTCACCTAGAGATGTTGTCAGGGGAGCAGGCTGAGATGCTGGTCTCCATGCTATCGGAGCTGTCTAGGCTCAAAGTATCAAAGGCCTGGTCCTTGTAGCTGTGATCAGGGTAGTGGAAACTGTTCAAGTAGACGTTTGATTCAGATGCCGTGCGGTTGTAAAATTCAGATTTCTGCCTTTGTCCTTCACTCATCTGTTGGTGATTATACCCTAAGGAAAGAGCCATAAATATGTTAGTATGTTTCACTTTCTAGCCTTAGATCTTCTGAGGCTCAAATGGGCAACCCGAAACATCTGCCTGTGAAACTTGGACCTTGGTCTAATTTGTTCTGAAGCCAAGAAGATCAAAGACACAGCATCATGCTCAGTGCAAGCAAGAGCTTCAAACAAGTGGTCTTAGGAGTGATCTTTTTAGTCAGCGGATCACCTCCCACTTTCCTTTGCCATTCCCACATCTCAGTACAACTGAGAAGAATACATCAGCGCACACTAAAACGACAAAGCAAAACCAGGACAAAACAGAATCACAACTGAAGGCCCTGAATCTTCTAAAAGTAGCTGGGTTCAAGTGAAGCAATATGACTCCTGGTGACAACCAACAGAAGGGTCTTAGGGCAGCTATTCCTTCAACAGGATGTAAATTTAAAGAACACTTGATTTGGTCATAAAATAGCAGGTGGACCCTCTAGGTACAGAATTTAAGAATCTTCTATCTCGCTTATATTATCACTAAAACTTTTAATCTGGTAAAAATCCAAACCGCACATTTTTCTCATTCTTCTTTTTTCAATTTTCCTTGCCCATGAATTATTTCAAACATTTAGAGTCAACAATTCTCCCAATGGGCACCCTCCTCCTAAATACCGTACACAGAACTCTCTTCTTTTTCCACCTTAGCTGTCAGCCCTCAGCTAGTTGTTGGTAGCCAATCACAGGAAAATGTAGAACTCACGTCAATAGCAGCGAAAATATTGTTGCTATGGCTTGCTCTCTCTGGTGGCTGATTTGAGGCAATGCAAATTGATTTCTTCTCCCTTTCAATTCTCTATTTACCTTACCTGCAGGAAACAGGGATCCTACTGCTAAACCAATTCCTCAAATCACTAAAAAGACCTTCCTCTACAGTCATTTTGCAATCTCTTTCCCCCTCATCAAATTTATTACCAGATCCATTAAGAGTTTACGGTTGGACCATTTGAATTTCACCTCTCTCCTTGCACTCTACCTACCTTCAATGAGGCTTTTAATCCGCAATGAAATGGTCAAAAAAGCAGGCAGAGGGTGAAAGGAGGACAATGATTCCAAACAGCTCCCTCAGCCATCATTTGAGCATTCCCATTCAAAAACAGAAGCCACATCCACGAGGCTTTCACAAACCATCAGACACCAAAAGTTTCTGTAAAGTGATTTTAGTTCCACAGGGAGCTTGCACGCCAAGCTATTTGGATTCGTCTTAAATATCAAAGTGAAAATACTTTAGTTCAGATGAGAGCATTTCTGGGGAAATAAGTTTCCTTAATATAAGCTGTAATTATAAATTGCAGATACACACACACAAAAGCCACATATCACTTGGCTAAGGGAAGATGCAACACAAAAAAGCATACCATGATACTTAAGATAGAATGCCATTAATCGTCGTGATTAATGCAGAAAGCATTAAGTGAAGCCAGTGCATTCATAAGCGTGGAGCTTGTGCCTTTAAAAAAAATCATTACTCAAATATTTACCTTTGATACTTGAACTTTTGGAATTACTAATTGCTCCTTTTAAATTGTTTCCAGTTATTATGAAAAGGAGGGGGACAGGAAAAAAAAAACAACACCAAAAATTATTTGAAAAAGTCACACATGCATCTTTCCCTATGCTTTCAAAAAAGGCTTATTGGCAAAGAAAATTTCAACATTGGCACCGACCATGCGAAAGATGTTTCCTTGTGTTAGTATGAAAACCAAATCCCTAAAAGACAGCCACGTAATTTAAGACTTATGAGAATTATCTCCTTGACACCACCATGTGCCACAACCTCCTCTTGGCCTTCAGTTTTTCATAACCAGGAAAGGTAAATCCCTATAATGCAACCAACACCTTCTTGGAAAAGCAGAAGATGGTGTGTCCTGATCCTTCTATCTTCCACGATTTTTTTAAAGCATTGCAGAATAAGAAAACGAACTTCTAATCTTCAGGTGAAGTAAACAGTACACTAAAATGACTCAAAAATTTCAGATGTGGGCACAGGGACCAGCTGTGTCACTGTGTACGGTGCTGAGGACTGTGAACATAAATACCCCAGATCACCCCATCAGTTATCCAAGTTTGGTGGATCATTCTGATGGTAGGATGAGTACCTAGATTTTCACGACAATTTAAGTGAAAGATCCTGCTGCTAATGAGCATATATTTCCCAGTGCAGGACTTTTGTTTTCTGTGGATCCAAGGTGAGTGGAAATGTTCTACCTCATGGAGAGGCTCATTTCTCCCAAAGGGCAACACTTTACACTGAACTCAACTATCACCTGGCTTAGCCTCCTCCCTCCTGACCAATTTCAAAAAAATTCAGTTACCTCTGCAATCACAAATAAAGGCCTGGAACTCTTCCCTGTGATCCTGGAATTGCACCAGTGTGTGTCCAAAGAGCTGGTTTTGGGACTCGGGCTCTGGCCTGCCTGTCCAAAGGTACAGGCACTTCTGACAGAGGAAACACCCCAGAAGAACAGCAAACCAAGGAGGATACTCTGGTAGGAGGTCCAAGAGGAACTGCTCGTGCAGCTAAGTAGCTCCAGAACAGGTGCAAGCTATACCAGGGAGGGGGACACACGTGTCCTGGTCACCACAGGATCCCCTTCTACTTAGCATAGGGATGTCATGAACTAAAGAGCCACCAAATCAATTCATTTTTTCATCTGTAATTTCCAGGTTTAGTAGTGGCTAAATAAGGAAGTGGGATGCATCTACTGGCTTGGGTAGGGGCAAAGTAAGTGCATTGGGAACAATTCGACTTTCCCAATCCCTGAGACTACTTCTGTTTTTGTTTTTAAATTATGTAGCAAGAAAACATTCAGCAGTGGAACAGCAACTAAAAAGCAAAAAAGGGCCTTTCAAATGCTCTAAATCCTTTCTATCTACGCAGAAATAGCCACCTGAGGGGAAGTTACAAGGTTTGTGAAGTGAGACCTGACAATATCTGAGGCTCATGGCTAAGCATAGCACATGCAAGGAACCCAACTCAACTCTCTTCACTGCCCAAGAGAGCCAGAAGAATGGATGTGCAAGGTCCATTCTTCTTTCTTCTTTTCCTTCTCCTCCTCCTCCTCCTCCTCCTCCTCCTCCTCCTCCTTCTTCTTCTTCTTCTTCTTCTTCTTCTTCTTCTTCTCTTCTTCTTCTCTTCTCCTCCTCCTCCTCCTCCTCCTCCTTCTCCTCCTCCTCCTTCTCCTCCTCCTCCTCCTCCTCTCTCCTCTCCTCCTCCTTCTTCTTCTTCTTCTTCTTCTTCTTCTTCTTCTTCTTCTTCTTCTTCCTTCTTCTTCCTTTCTTCTTCCTCCTCCTCTTCCTCCTCCTTCCTCTTCCTCCTCCTCTCCTTCTCCTCCTCCTTTCCTCCTCCTCCTCTCTTCCTCCTCCTTCTCCTCCTTCTTCTTCTTCATGCCTATCTATTAATTCTACCCACTTACACCTAAAAACTCCTTTGTGATTTAACCATTGTACCATTGTGGGATTTATAGTTTTGCCAATATTTACCAAATGTGTGTTGTTTCCCCTTCCTTCCTTTTTTTTTTCCTAAAGAGAGGGAGAGGGGGCACAGTAGAAGGAGAGGGAGAGAGAGAATCTTAAGCAGACTCCATGCTCAGTGCAAGCCCAACTCAGGGCTCAATCCCACAGTCCTGGGATCAGGACCTGAGCAGATATCAAGAGACAGATTCTTAACCAATTGAACCACCCAAGTGCCCTATGATGTATACTTTAAATGGTTATCTGGGCTTAATATAGAAAATGAAATGACTTAAAACTATGACTTGGGTTTGGGGGCTACAATTACACAGATGCCTAGTGATGTTGAATATTTGTGTGTGTGTGTGTGTCTGCAGCAATGTCCACAATAGCCAAACTATGGAAAGAGCCCAGATGTTCCGCTTAACATAAATGGGTAAAGAAGATGTGGTATATGTATATAACAGAAAACAACTCAGCCATCAAAAAAAATGAAATCTTGCCATTTGCAACAACGTGGATGGAACTAGAGGGTATTATGCTAAGTGAAATAAGTCAGTCAGAGAAAGGCAATTATCATATGATTTCACTCATATGTGGAATTTAAGAAACATAACAGAGGACCATAGGGGAAAAGAGGAAAAAGTAAAACAAGACGGAATCAGAGAGGGAGACAAACCATAAGAGGCATTTAATCATAGGGAACAAACTGAGGGTCACTGGAGGGGTGGGGTGGGGGGATGGGGCAACTGGGGTGATGGACATTAAGGAGAGCATGTGACATAATGAGCACTGGGTGTTATATAAGAACAATAAATCACTGCCCTCTACCTGTGAAACTAATAATACGTTATATGATAATTAATTGAATTTAAGTTAAAAAATACAAATTTTTTAAAAAAAGGATAAAATTCAACAGTATTTCTGACAAGTTAGCCTATCATAGCTCACCTGCTGAGAAATTCATTCTTCCTAACCATAGTCCACAGCCAGGAGACGGAAGATACAGGACGAGTCATGAATGAAGGAGGGGAATGATGGAGAAAGGGAGAAAGAGACAAGATCAAAAAGGATGACAGGGGACAGGAAAAATATACAACACTTCCAACATGCCATCTTTGACAGCGTTAGTCACAACACCAGATTAACAAGGCAAGATGGATTCACATTTCTAGATTAAATCTGAGTTTACAGAGAAGAACTCAAGAAGTTAAAAAATAATCATGATACATACATACATACAGTTAGTCAACATTTTGAAAACAACATCTTTACACATATTTGCCAACTAGAAAACAGGGAGAATAAAAACGAGATCATAGCGATAAAACAATTCTTTGTGCCAAGCAGATAGCAATAATTTTTAAGCGCTAGGGTTTATAAAATGCCATTCAATTATTTGAAGCACAGTCCATCAAATTTTATGACCAGTCTGTCCTCTGATACCCTGTGTCTCCATCACCTGGCCACGCTAATAAGCACCTCATTTATTCAAGCCAGTCAGGTAAAGCGGTCTTCACTGGGCTCAAGGTCTTTCTTCTAAAATAGGCTTAAATGGATGCATATGTGGGAGTGTCCTAAACTGTCCCCTCCTCCCCTGTACCCAGCCTTATTTATACCTGGCCTTTAAAAAGGAGAAACATCGTGTTTTACATTTAGCCTACATACATGACAATGCCTACTCTTATCTTTATCTAAATTCTGGGTCTTACAAAACCATGCTTCCCCGGCACTCTTGTTTCCGGCATGGTCTGTTGTAATAATAATAAAAAAAAAAAAACACAAAAAAAACAAAGGGACTCATGCAGCTGCTTGTGAATGAACAGCTGCACTCAGGATTGAGTTTCTAGCAAATGTGCAACAATTTCTCTCTATTGTGTAAAAGGAATGATTAGACTAAAAATCCACTATTTTCAAATCTGATCATTTCTTAAAGATGACTGAACAATGACCTGTCCACATTTGCTGGAAACAAAAACACCACACAAGGGAGGTTGCCATACCTTTCTTGGACTTTCCTGCATTTAACAGAAGACAAAAGGACAAAGATTTCATTCATTCTAGAGCTTACAAAGGAACAGTTCACAAGTTGTACAAAAGCCAATAACCATTACAACTTTAAGAGCTGAGTTCCTGGGCTCTCTGCTTTAAACTCTGCTCTCAAAGATCTTTGTTTGCATGATTCACATTGTCAGTTCTATGAAAACAGCGCTGACGGAAGGAAGGCTTATACTTACACCATTGTCCTTGACGTATCCATTATGGACAAGCAGCAAAAAAAACAGTTTGTTTAAGTTAATTGTGTAAGTCCCTCCTACATGATAAGATCTATTACATTTGAGTTCATGAAAATGTGTTGGGTCCAATTTTTTCAAATCCATGGAATTTTACTTGCATTTGCTATTTTAGTGAAGCCAGTAATATGTTAGTGAAACAATTCGAAATGCAATAATGATTCAACCCTCCTGGTCTTTGTATGGGGTCCCCCCCCCTTTGTATGACCCCCACCTGTATGGGGTCAGTAGAAAATCCTGCCAATGTTTCCATCTATTGTGGCTCTGAAAATAGCAGTCCCTGGCCCCTCCTCCTCTGGCTTCACAAGACACCTCATCTCTGCTTGGACCAACGCACAACATGATGGTTCTCTGTTTCCGCAGAAGCTACCTCATCAGGACCACATGAAACTCTTTAAGAAGTGCACTTTAGAGCTGCAGCAAGAAAGAATGGAGCAGCAATTTTCCCAGATACACAAAAGTGAAGTACATCGGTGAAGAATCAGAGCAGAAAGATAGCTCAAAGTCAATGGATCTTGCAGAGTACATCCCCAATGGACTTAAGGGAATTGGCTCACATTTCCTCAATGAATCTAAGATGGGAATTCCCATTATGCGTTGGGCAAGAAGAGATTAGAAAAATAAAGATTGAACATCCTTCAGTTTCACAATTCTCGTAAGAATCCTCTTACAGGAAAATGTTAATAGCTCTCAAATTCACAAATCTCTCCATTTAGCACAAAGTTCTAGTTTTTCTTACTCATTAAGAAAATACTCTTGACATAAAATATGGTCTTGTGGCCAATTCAAGCTTTGAAATCCTCACCCCGTGGGAAAAACCCATTCAAAAAGTCTAAAAATATCACAGAAAAATACTTTAACAGAAAATAGACTTGACCCACAAGTGAACAATGATAAATGAGAGCCAAAATATCATGACTGATGTATTTTTATTATTCATAAATCATAAGAGATATTTTAGCATATTGATAAATTATAAGATATATTTTAGCTTAAGAAATTATAGTAAAGAAAATAAAAGCAGAGTTCAATCAACTGTGTATGATTCACATATTAACATTATAAGCCTCTCATGCATTATAAACCTCTCTTATGCATACTACAGACTCCATGAGCTCTTAAATCACTTCTGGTAATGATTCAAAATCCTCATCCAAGTGAGAAGTATATATATATATAACACACATACATACATTTTTATATTTTATATATACCAAAATTCATTCATACACACACACACACACATTTTTTTCTCTTCTGGGGAGAAGGGCAGGAAACTAGTGTTTATCCCCTGGTACCACTGGCAGAAGGGCTGAGTAGTCAGAACTGAATCCCAAGGGCGGGTGGTGGGGGTGAATGGGTGACGGGCACTGAGGGGGCACTTGACGGGATGAGCACTGGGTGTTATTCTGTACGTTGGCAAATTGAACACCAATAAAAAATAAATTTATTTTTTTTTTTTAAAAAAAGAACTGAATCCCAGCCTGCTTGGAAGGAAGGGTTTCAATCCCACTAATGCATGAATGCATTTAGAACCCAAATGCCCACTACTCCATCAGCATCCCCCTTTATATCCTGGGCACTCCTCCATCATGGCACTTACCACATTTCATTTAAATTATCTATTACGTGTCTTTCTTCCTCACTAGAGTATAAGCATGTCAGGGGTGAGGACTGTGTCATTCATTTGCATTCTTGGTCTCTAGCACTATGCCTGCTCAAAAGTTAAGGCCCATATAAATTATTGACATAAATGACTGTGTTGACACAACTCTAATCCACTCAAGGAGAAACTCACCTCTGGAACTGCATTATAGTAATTTCTCCTAGCCCCACAAAGACTATTTGACAGCCCTATTATAAATGCAATGTATTATTACAAAGAGGTAAAAGATGCCGAGAATCAAAGTCTACCTGAAACCCAACAACCACATAGAATAAAAGCTCAGGCCACATTAGAAGCCCACAGGGGATACTGTCCTGGGCCACTAGTGTTCTACTGACTGTGGCAGCTCAATGACTCTTCTGGGTATATTTCAACAGTGGCTCAGCCACAGGCCAGATAAGTGGCTTTAGTTAAGTGCCCTGGTGATCTCTGGATTTGCTTGGTCTCTTTTCTTTCTACCAAATGGGAAGGTTAGTAATTCCCTGGGGGCTTTCCTGGTTTGAGAATTCTATTGAATTTATAAAGTACAATGCGTATGTTTAAAAGCTGCCAGCCATACATACATTAGAAAAAGTTACCTTAGAACAGCAATAATGAGATATAGATCCTTCTTCAAAGAAGACTCGTTAAGAACAAAACTGAGGATTTTGGTTATTCCCTCCCTAATGATCCCCAACCCTGTTCTTGAGCTCTCTCCCTGAGAATTCTAATGCTTAACCACAGACATGATGTTTGACTTAAAAGGTACCTACCTCTGAGCATCCTCCGAGAGTCTGAGTCTTTGGTCATGGTTGCCAGCGAGTGAGGGAGTACACTCCCGCAGCTGTTGCTCTGTCCCAGGGGCAGGTGAGCCTGTGAGAACCGGGAGGAAATATCTCACGCAAACTGCAGACCAAATGGTCCTCCAGGATGGGGCCACATCCCCATTTCCATAGCGCCAGTGTAAGCCCAGAGGGCAGGGAAGATAAGAAGGAGGAATGAAGGCATCTCATTTATGCATGCTAAGTGCCAAAGGCCAGTCATGGGCCCTTCCAAGGAGCTGCACAGCAGGTTCAACATCACACCAATCTCTCCAGTGGCAGCAATTCCAAAAAAAGAAGACAGATGGGGAAACGCTGTCCAAAATCACCCTTAGAGAACAACTAACGATCTTCATGCGTAAGGAGCCAAGGGCAGATGCAGGTACAAGAATGCATGCATATCATGCACAAGGAAAAGAAGAGCTGTATTTGTTACAAGTGTACCAATTTCCAATTTCCATCTCCCCCTGAAGACTGGAGAGACCGATGACCTACCCTAGTGGGTTTAGCACTTTTTAAGATAGAAAATCCTTAGTGTGACATAGACTTGAAATACCAGTTTATAAAATAGATTAAAACAAAGTGACTCTGATTAAGGACAGGGGAAGGGCCCCAAAGCCTGGCCCACGCAGAACCTCCTTCTCATTTGCCTCTCCCTCTCTTTCTGCAGTGACACCCTGGCCATGTCAGGAAAACATGAGTGAGGACTCAAGTGTCACACGTAGGTTCATAGTCCAGCTTCACTGCTAACCAGCTGAAGGCACCTGGGCTAGTTGCTTAGCTTCTTTACACCTCGCTTTGTTCATCTGTGCAATGTGGAAAATAATGAGAACCTCTACTGAATAGCGTTGCTGGATTTTAAAATGAGAAAATCTATACAAAGAGCTTAGTCCAAGAACAGGCTTATAGAAACAACTCTCAATTATTATTCCTGGAATCCAGAGTTTATATTCCCCAATTTCCAGATCTGGGAGGCAGTCTTGGGAATCTGTCATGTAGGTGAACACTATCCACCATTTGTGTGGTGGTGGGAGAAAATACCCAGGACCAGGTCCTTCAGTCCCAGAGCGTACAATTCCAAATGTCTTCCGAATACAATAGACAATGCAATAGAGTCATACATCTGCCCAACAAGCAAACTTGATGGTTTATTATTCAGCACTTTTTTTAAGAGCCTTTGCTCGTTGGCCAACATTAGGACAAGACTCACTGAATGCGAAGCCCCTGGTTCACCCCACGGCCTACCTTTGGGGTGGTGCTTCTCCCCATAGTAGCACTGCTGAAATGTGGGGATATGGAAGGTGTGGTTTTCTTTCGAGGCAAAGTGTCACTCAGATAGAGGCCTTCTTTATGCTGTTTTTTCCTTTCTTCCAGACTTCTAAAATGCTTTAAATGCAAATGTAAAGCAGAATAGCAAAACTTGACTAATTGAAACAGGTCACTGAAGAAATTAAGAAGTATGCATTTACAAAGAAGTTTTGGAATTTTAACACAGAATTTTAAAAAAAATCAACTTATACTTGTGTTCACTAATAGACTAGGGCTAGCATTTGGTAAGATACTTAGACACTGGAAGAATTTACTACTGAACCTAGAAACTTAAAAAAATCCACCTTTCACTTTCATAGTGCCTGCTGCCTTGGGGCCTCAGGACAACTTACAAATTATTATGATGGTGGCGGAACAGCCAGTGGACAAAGCAAGTAAGCAGTTTCTCCCCTTGTCTGTCTGGACAGTTTTGTATGATGGCACAGATCCCAGTGTGAGGAGAACAAGGAAGGGAGAAGGGAGAAGATGGAGAGAAAGAGCGAGTAAACAGGGAAGTTGTTTTAAAGTTGGAATAATATTTTAATTACATATAAACACTCCAAATCCATATAACGTTTAAGGTTACTCTTTTATTTAAAAAAGATCTTACCCAAGAAATCCCTATAGTAACCCCTTATATTTAAAAATCCTCTGGTTGAACATTTCTTTCTTATTTTTTTTCAGATTCCTTAGGCAACATTTTTGCCAACTTGAAATTTGCCCAAATTTTTCTTAGCCTCCTCCCAAAATGCCTTGAGTAGTGATTTCCTAATTAGAGGTTCTTAGGGTTTGATCACTTTTTTTATAAGCTCAGGTTGTTGAAATACATTAAAGTTAATGCAGATTTGAATTACCAAATTTATGATCTTTAAACATGCCAATCATGAAATATGTCTAAATTTTAACTTTATAATTATCTATTTATAGTAGTTAATATTTATTAGCCTAAAAGTAGCAAAGAGATATATCCTTTAATAAAAGGTAAAAGGCAGTGAAGATAACTTCAAGAAATGTAATGGCTGGGCACAGCAAACCAGGGCTCATCAAATTTGGGGATCCAGTCACTATGACTCCTTACCATCTTCTGGGGCCAAATTCATATAACGTCTGATTATAGTTGAAAGGAAACCTCAAAACAGACTTTTTGAATACCCAAGCATGATTATGCACTAGATATACTAAAAGAAGGTTGACATTCATAATAATGAATTTTTTATTTAAAATATACGATCAGTAAAAATTTCTATGAACCAAATGCATTCTTTGTGGTGTGACCCTGGACAAGCTATTTACCTCTGCTAAGCCTCAGTTCCCTAAATGTCAATAAGGAGTTAATTCCTATTTCTCAGGACTAGTAGACGGAAGAAATGAGATATTTATTTGTAAAATGTTTAGCACATTTTGACACATAGCAAGGGTATGTTGTCCATTATTATGATTTCAGTAAGTCTGTAAGGAAAATATTTTGCATTGACACAGCAACTTTTTATACTATGGATTTAATGGAAATAATTATTATCATTTTGAAAACTACCTGAGACAAGTTGCAATATTTGGATTGAATGGGAACTGAAGCATGAAGACGTGAAACGTATCTAGCTCCAATATGTCAAAAGTCAAGAGGGGACAATCAAGGTGTCAAAGTTTAGAACAATCCCAACACTCTTAAAAAATACTAAATGTCCTTAAAAAATGTAAGAACAAAAACCCAACCAGATAAAAGAAAACCTAGCAAAGGAATATGTTACTTTTCTTTTTTAAAAAATACTTTTGGAAAAGTGGAAGGCAAGACTCCACATTACTGACTTTGTTGTCAAGGTCAAAGTCTCAGACTCTGAACACCAGTGCCTAAGTTACCTGTTGCTCCTGCTGCTGTTGCTGCATTCTGTGTTTCTTAGCTGGTAGAGGAGGAGGTGTGTCATTTAAAGGGAAAGGATCGACAGTCGGAGCCAGGACTTCCGGCCAAGGGGCTGATGGAAGTTGAGTGATAGGATGAGGAGAGAGGGTGGAAGGAAACATAAATCCAGAACAGACAGGTGATCTTTGCTTTATAGGAGAAAGAAAAAGTATGCACGTGTCCATATGAAATGAAAGAATAAGACAAAGAAATGAAATCGATAATCTCATTATTCTGTTTTCTTGTATTTTAATCACAAAGTCACAAATGATGGCCAGGATCTTTCAATTTAGCCTCTTGTTAAAATTCCACTCTGGGAGCAACTTGGATCAGTTCTAAGGTGTTTTAATTTACTACTCGTTGCCCCTTCCCAGATGTTCTAAAAAGGCATAACATTAAAAAAAAAATCCATACCACAAACATAAAACAAAATCAAACTGGAAAAATGATTCAAACTAACAGTTTAAGAAAGGCTTTTTGGTTTCTATGAAAACGAGGTCAGGTCAGAGTGCTAAGACCTAGAGCTTATTGTCTTGAACTTAATTCTCTTGGCACTCCACTCTGCACCACCTATTTCATGATTTCCCATTTGACAATCCATGGGACAGTGCCCCAGGTTGGTATGTTTTTCATACTCAGCATCACTCTGGCCTACTGGTCAACCAGATGTATATGGGTCACACACATCTTCATTTTCAGGTAACCATGGGTTAATCTTTGACATGAGGAAAGCAGTGAATGAATGAAATGTCATGCCAACACACCTCTTTATTTTGTGGCTGGCTCACCAGCACAGCTGTGGTAGGCCCAGTGGCAACAGCGTCAGCGTCAGCAGGGAACTGAGTGGAAGGGGATAGATTCGTGGAATTGACACATGGCTCATTAAATTCATTTACACTGATATAGCCCTAAAAGGAGGAATTCAGAAATTAGACACAAAGAAAGCAAAAGCTGAGGCATGCGAGAGTATTAATGCTCCCAGTACAATGGAGTTAGCTTCGAGCGGCACAGCCAAATATCTGTGGAATTACCAAATGTTTCATTAAGGGAATCATCAGCAATTAAAATGGATTTACGATGCTTAATCTTGAAAAATGATATTCCAAACATTACACACAATTTGGGGGGGCGGGTGAAGTAAAAGATGACTATATTATAAACAACCCCAACCTTCAATTTTAAAATATGTAGAGGTATCAGCATTCATTCTGTTGACTGAATGAGGGTATCACTATCCAACACTTAACCACACACACAAAAATCTGAGATATAAATTTACAATGCAATCACTCACTCCATAATTCAAGAGCCTTTTCCGCAAATCCTTATTTTTAGATTTTCCTCTTTTCTTCTGTTTTCTGACAAGATAGAGTATGAGTACAAAGTGGGCTGAGGACTTCAGGTTTTTGTACTAAGAAATTTTATAAATAGTAACTTATTTGTAATGCAATCTAGTTTTTAGGTATCTCAACTAAATGAGAATAAAAGGGACACTCATCCCCTCATGAGCCTTTCCTAGTAAGACACATGTATACACACACACACACACACACACACACACACCAGAGGACCCCACCCCACCCCACCCCATCCAGATAGAGTTGTAGCTCAAAGCTATTTCAATTCAAGGCGGCTTCCTCAACTCTCAGCTCTACCAGAGGACAGAAAACTGCCTGTGACTTTTAAGTACAATGATGCACTTCTGGCTTCAGCTTCGAGAAAATAGCCATGAACCAAAACTTGCAAGAATCAAAACTCCTCAATTTATATTTGAGGAAAAGGCACTTGTAAATTTTCATGGAAAGTATTTATACAGACCAGCCATAATTCTCACCACATCAACAAAACAGCAGGAAAAGCAGAATACAGAATATAGAATAATATTCCACTTTTCAAAGTAAAACTGAGTTAATTTAGCACTTGGATTCTTCTATTAGCCCATCGATCCTTTAAAAAAGTGGTGCCAGGGTAGGCAAGATACCATTTTGCTGGTGAAGCAAAAATTTCAGGTAGGAAAGCAAGGTTTTCACTGGTAATTTATAATTACGACAAAGTGGAGAAAGCTAGAGTTGATTATTTATAAATTGTAGGTTTTAAAATGCTGCTGAATAGGGTCTTGTACTTCCTGGCAATAGACAGCATGTAAAGTTTCAGAAAATTAAACTGAAGTCAGGGGAGTTGACAACTGGGTTTTTGAATATCACTTTATCTTTGATAATGAAGGGGAAAGAAGAGAATGACTTTTCAGGTATTCTTTTGCTCAGGTGACAGTGCAGTGCTTCAAAATCGAGATCTGATTCTTCATACTCATAGGCCACATGACCTGATTAATTGCTCAAAAATGTATGCCATTTGTCAAAAGCAGGACTTGTTTAAAAGAGTTAGATATAAATTAATCACTCCTTAGAAAAAAAGAGAGAGAGAAAGGAAGGAAGAAATAACATCTTGTGAGCCAAGTCAGCTTAGTCCATGAAGAGAACATAACTACTCAACAAACACAAGAGTTGGAGCCATACAAATGGCAAAAAGCCAAATGGGCTTTTGGCACCAGGAAGTCTGCAGAGAAAACGAACAACTCATTAACAGAAAAGGAAAGATTTTATTCTCGAACCAACGGGTAAAAAGACCTTAGAGCCTATCTAATTCATTTGGATGCTACAGCCCTTCAAAATCAGTATGTCCTGAGTCAAACTGCACATCTTCCCTCTTAGACCTGCACTATTCCCCTTCTTCACTACCTCAGGAAAAGGTCCTCGCTGGTCAGCTCATTATTCAAACTGGAAAAATGACATCACTCCTAATACCTCCCTTAATTTACTTCATCTTCACATCCAATTTATCAGCAAGAACTGTCAACTCTTGCCTTCAGAATATATCCACATCCAGCTATTTCTCTCCATCTCTCTGCCCTTGTGTGAAGGAAAGCCGCAGGCATCTCCAGTCTACATCCTTGCAATCACCTCCTTACAGGTTCCCCTGCTTCTCATCTTACTCTTCATAATCTTGTCCCGCAGCCCAGAGTGATGGTTAACAAATGGACATCAAATAATATCACCTTCCTGCTTAAACTCCCTCACTCAGTGACTTCCCAGCCACATAAGATAAACCGTATTTCTTTAACATGCCTCCCAAGCCCTGGTCCTTGCCCACTTCACTGACCTTCTCTTCTTCCACTACACTCCATCCACTGTGACCCTTTGTTCACTGAATCTGCCAGTTCCACGTTCTGAGTAATGGAGAGAAACTATGAAACTGAATGATCTAATAAAGCTCTTGTAGAAATATTTCACAAAATGCTTCCAAGATACATGTTATTCATACTTACTACGTGATGAGCATTTACTTCATATACCTACACACATACACACACACACAATACTTCCTATGTTGGAAGTCTTAACTCCACTTTTAAAAAGATATTTATAAATAAAGGTTTTTTTTAATCACACAAATTTTTATGCAGAAGCAAGTTTTTCTTCAGCTTTTTGGGAAAAAAAACAAATATAGTTATTTTCAATTGGGACAGATGATAGCCACACTTGTGGTGGATGCAGCATATTCTATAAACTTGCTGAATCACGATGTTGTACACCTGGAACTAATGTAACACTGTGTGTCAACTATACTAAAAACACATACACACAGCTATTTCTTTCTCACTCAGGGTTATGATTTTCCAAATTAGAGTTAAAATATTCTTCCACTGTAGCAGCATAGCTCCATTAAAAGGTATTTCAGAAAGATGAAAGTTTAGAATAAAGAGTGTGTGAGTGTGTGTGTGTGTGTGTGTGTGTGTGTCTTAATGTAAATAGGATTTTCTAATTTAGGGAGGGGAATAGTAGAAACAACTTTGGGAAAAAGGAACAGAAAAGAAAGGAAGCAGACTATCTTAGCAAATGTGCATTTTCATGTGCCCTCAGACTTAAGAGAAAGAGAAAGAAAGTAAGAAAGAGGGGAACTGAAAAAGGAAATGGCAGAGAGGGAATTTAAGACTAATCTTCGCATGGATCCTAACTTGTTTGAAACTACAAGTTAACCCACAATGTCACTGTCAAGCATAGTCTGTACCCGCTCACACACACACACACACACACACACACATACACACACACACACACAGTGTACCTGCATTAAACACAAAAATAATCCATAAAATCCTCAAAGCATAAATAAAAGGCAGGAAAACCATCACAGCATTGAATGCTTTCTAAGTCCTCCCAGTTAATGTTTTCCTATTGAGTTAATCACAAAAAACTGAGGCACATCTCTTGATTTCTAAGCTGGCATGAGTAGACATGTAAAATCATAGCTTACCTCTTTTAGAGTACTGGGGTTGACAGGAAACCCCTTCCCCCCAGAAAGGCTGGAGTATTTCTTTTCCAAATTACAAAGATTTTCCTTTTCCTGAAGAAACACAAAATCTATTAAGCTTGGTTAATCGTGGATTTCCCTAATGACTAACAACGTTGAGTGTTTTATCATGTGACTTATTGACTCTTCATATATCTTCTTTGGTGAAGTGTTTGTACTCAAATCTTTGGCTGGTTTTCTCTTAATTATTTATTGTTTATTGATCATTATTGAATTGTAGCAGTTTGTAATATATTCTGGGTTTAAGTCCTTTGTCATATCCTCTTTAAGAAATCCTTGCTTGCCCCAAGGCCAGGGAAGTATACTTGCAGTCCTATATTTTCTTCTAGAAACTTTATCACTTTAATTTTTATGTTGCAGTCTACGATCTGCCTTGAATTAATTTATATGCATGGTGTGAGGACAGACGCATTAGGATTCACTTGTTTCCATGTGTCCCAGTTGATCCAGCACTATTTGTTGGAAAGACTTTCTTTTCCCTACTGGATTATCTCAGAACCTTTTGTCAAAAAAAAAAAAAAATCAATGGACGGCATATGTGTGGGTCTATTTCTGGACTTTCTGTTTAGTTCCATTGATCTTTATGTCCAGCTGTATCAGCACCACCACATCATTTTAAATACTCTAGCTTTAGAGGCAACCTTGAAATCAAATAATATAAATCCTCCAACTTGGTTCTTGTTCAAAATTATTTTGGCTATTCTATGCTCTTGGCATTTTCAGAGTTGACTCTCATTATTTGTAATTCTCATGTTCTATAAATTTGCCATGAACACTGAATTGTAATTCAGTAACTACTGAACTGTTGTTCCTGCAGGAAATACAGAAGTGGGTTACTGTGGGCTTCTGGTCAAAATAATGTCATCAGTTGATCAATACATAACTCTGCTTTATGTGTGTTTCTGTTAAAGACGGCTTATTGATATACATGGTTGATTCATAAACACTGAACTCACAGCTAAAAGCACTGTAGTTCATGCCTGAATGAAGCTTATTTAACACGTTATTTTCTCCCTGAAGCAGATCACAACCTTCCGGCTCTTAGGAACACTAGACAGTACGTTAGCACTATGCTGGGAGGCATCTTAAACAGCAAAATCACCAAAAAAAAAAAAAAAAGGCACAAACTATGTAAAAACATAGCACTAACTAGTGCACAAAAAGGATACTTATTTACTCTATGGGAGTTGAAACAGGAAGGTAGAGCCAACCTCAGCCAGGAATGTGCATGCTGAGACTCAAAATTTTTATTGCTCTACACAGGTCAGTGAATTGTATGACAAGTATTGATTTGGGGGCTACAAACAAATTTTAGTGAGTAGGCAAGTTCACAAATATTCATGAATAATGCAGATCAACTATAAATTTTAGCATGAACTTACCAATTTCTACAAAAAAGTCTGTAGGAATTTTTTTTTTTTAGATTTATTTATTCATGAGAGAGAGAGAGAGAGAGAGAGAGAGAGTCAGAGACACAGGCAGAGGGAGAAGCAGGCTCCATGCAGGGAGCCCGATGTGGGACTCGATCCCGGGTTTCCAGGATCAGGCCCTGGGCTGATCTGCTGGGCTAAACCGCTGAGCCACCAGGGCTGCCCGTCTGTTGGAATTTTTATTGAGATTGAGATGGAGCTATAGATCAATTTGGGAAAATACAAATTGTGGTTATAGATCACAATTTTTGGAAAAGAATCATATTTTATACATTTTAATGAGGAAGTGGTATTTCTGTGATTGTGATTACTCATTTTTAAAAGTCTATCACTAAGAGATTTTTCCCATTTTTTTGCTAAAACTTTAGAAACTACTTAAATCCTCCATATTACACTATTTAATTTAAGCTGTCGCTTTGGATATCATGTGGAACTATGTTAGAAAACCCAGCAGGTGGGCAAAGAAAACCCTTTACATGCACATTAGGCACTGAGCAGATAGGAACACAGTCACTTTAGTGAGGATGATCTTGCCCCCCAGCAGGGTATCTACCTAGCCAATGAAGCCAAACTAAACCCAGGATGGTAACTGCCAGGATGACCCACATGCAAATAATTGGAGTTTGACACCACAGCAGCTGAGCCAAAATGTTTGACAGCAGCAATAAAAGCAGAATATGTTCCACCTACATGATGAAAAATCTGTGTTTTCAAAAGAAGAAAATTCAAAAATGTATGTGGTTTTCATAGTTTGAATTTTCACACCATGGAAAAAGCATGAGGAAAATGTCCTTGCTTATTTTCTGAATTAGAGTGAATTGTTTGCTGAGCATCAGCTTATTAATGTGGAGAATTAAATAAAAATGTGTATTACAAAGTCTTCTTTAAATTATAATAAACTATTCACTATTAAAAGATACTTTCTTTGAAGGAAGCAACTTTGCCCAAGTTGGAACCTGAGTTCTACTACAACCAGTGCTAAAAAAGGAAATACTTACTCTTTGTAACATCATTATTAAATTATTCTTTTCTTTCACAAAATGATCTTGTTCTCTCTGAGCTTGCTGGACAATATGATTGGCTTGCTTTTTCAGTGCAGAAATTTTTTCCTGAAGAAAAAAAAAAGATGATCATATACAGAGGCACGTTAGACATTCACTGGTTTGCCAGTATGTCCTGGAAAATGGAAAAGTGTTTACAACTGGATTAGTGATGGGCACATTTTCATTGGTAGTAGACAGTGATTATTATACTGAGACTGTGAGGCAGTTTCTTTGACCTGCCAAGCTCAAGGTTTTTCTTTACCTAAGGCCAATATAGTCCACGTGGTTTAAAATCTATTTGAAGAATGCAGAAGTCAACAGGAAATCTTGTTTTAGACTGTAAGTGAATCATCTTGGGAGATGCTTCATGGGAAAAATAACAATGTAAGTTCTTATTTAAGCTGAGAGCTTAAGAAGTCACCATTTTCATTTCCCTTTCCCTCAATTTTATTGGTTTAGTACAGAGCACTGGGATGTGATTCTAAGTTTTGGAACAAGAGCTGAATTCTGGGGCTGGACATCTGGGTGGAGCCAGCGATGAGCACGGGATTCTGAGGTGCTATTCGAATGGCAATAAGCTATCAGCCAGCTTCGAGAACTAGGAGCAGTGGAAACAGAACTTCCAAAATAGATGTTGTTCCCAGAATTATTCTAGATCTAGTTACTGCGATGGCAAAAGCAAGTCACTTAAAACAAATATCTGAATTTCTGATTTTTCTCTCCCTTGGTTTTCACATCAATGAAAAATACCAGATTTTATTCATAAATGCACCTACAGCATTAAGTAACAATAACCGTTACACATCTCAGCTTATCTAGCTCGGAGCACCATTTGGTATGTAGATGGCAGGGGCCATAAACTGTCAAATGTGATATGTGGTGAAACACACAGATATATTCAGATATAAAGATAAGGAGACAGAGGGCTATATTAATGAGGATTACTGTCATGGAGCAAGGGGCAAATTTGGATTTTTTTTTTCTACTGAACAACTCCTGGCAAAAGTACCTTTCGAGTCACAATATTCCGTTGATATTCAGCTACTTCACGCAGGAGCTGTTGGGTCAGGTTCTCCTTCTCCTCATCCAAACGGCTCTCACGTTCAAGCTGCTGGAATTCTAGGTCTTCAAAGTGTTTGCTCTCCACGTCCAACAGGTCAGCGTCCTTTGGAGAAAATGCAATGGAAACAAGACATATTGGAATGGCTGTGGCCTTCTTAGCATAAAGGAAAAATTATTAAAAGCAAACAGTCCAAAATATCTTTCTAGTTACTAAGCTGACCAGGGTTGGAAGATGATAATCCTCTCTTTTGGAGTGAAATCCCAGGGTAGTGACCATTAGAATGGAATTGAACTGGGGAAGAGAAGTATTGGTTTGACCATCAGTTTTAGACTATTCTGTGGATGTAGGAATTCTTGTTAAAACTACTAGGTGGGTGTAAAGTTGACTTTGAAGTATAAAAAGAATTCAGCAAATAACGAAACGTTATCTACTGACCAAGGTGTGACATGCTCTCTTGAGAAAACAATTTTCCAAAATTTTCAAATGAAATGAGACTTTAGTATAGAGATCAAATTTGAGATTCCAAAGTTATTGACTGTAAAAAAAAGACTAAAAATTTGGTACACATACAGATTAGACCTATATAATATATATATTGCATGCATGCTCAGATAATTTTGTGGAAAGGAGAAGTTGCCGAAAACATTTGGCGGTTGGTATTCTTACGCTGGGCTTCTGTGAATCCCTTAAAATTATTTACAAAGATTTTTTGTTTTTTTATTTACAAAGATTTTTACTGGAAGAGTGGAAGCACAGCGTTCATCAGGCACAAAGGGTGACTCAAATGGTTAAGCACTGCTACTCTGGGAATAATTTGGGGACATTTAAGAAAGATCAGAAATCATAAAAATCAGATGATCTAGAACAGGCATTTCCTAATCAATGAAGTGTCTGAAGACAGAAGTGAATCTGTATCTGTGCAGAGATTGGCACATGTTGTACGAATCATTCTTGAACCTACACCAAAAAAACGCCACCTCCTTAATTTTGGAGCCTTTGACAAAACCATAAATGTGGTATGTATAGAAGATTTCAAAAAATATATAACTTGTAAATAATCTATTGCCAAAAAGAAACAGCAGCTGGGCTATATGATTTACAACTCTACATAGGTAAAACAGCCAGAGCATGTTTTTTTTTTTTTCAGTCAAAACATCAGAAAGAATTGGATAAATATGATAAATGAGATTTATATCAGTTTTTAAACATACCTCCCCTTCTTTTGGTTTTTATGTGAGTGATAAATTAAGCCTTGTAATCAAATGGAATAATACATTTCTGTCTTCTGGAATGAATTACATTCTGAGGATGATTCATAGAAGGACAATTAGCTACCCTGTAATTATAAGCGGCACTATAGCAACAAGAATATGTCAACACAGTGGATTCTTAAAACTTAAGAGCAAGAAAAACAATTTGAAAAACATATTCAGCATTTCTTAGCACTTTTTTTTTACAGTTTAATTGACCAATCAAAAAGTGGTCTTGGTTTCAAGTTATAGGTTGACATTTCAAATTTATCAGACATTTTATGCTTATAACTTCTAAAGGAATGAATGAATTTGGGCCCAATCTACTCACTACTAATGTAATTAAGAGATAACTTGAGTGTTATGTCTAAAAACAAAATGCCTGCAGTCTTGAAATATCTGCATCAGTAGATATATTATTCACTTACACAGTCATTCATACTCCAGTTTTTAAGGTCTTTCAATTGAGCTTGGTTTGTGGCTAAAGATTATTGAGAGAAATAATTTCATAAACCTTCTTTTTTTGTTTGTAAATAAGCTTTACTCAAAGTGAGTATATGTCTCACAATATGCCCACTATGCCAGTCAGTTGCTCATTCCACATGTGGTTAATAGGCAACATGTGTTATCTTAGCCGCATGAAGGTCACAGAGCCACTAATTTGTCTGTAGTAAATATTTAAACTGTTGCATGAAAATGCTAGCACATTGGGTAAGAAAGTTGAAAATTAAAGCTAAGCTCAGCACTCAGATTCTGCTGGTATAATCATCTGATCAAGTTGTCCAAACAATTAGAATGTGTGTATATAAACTTATACTGTAAAAGAAAAACAACTAGGGAGGGGGAAAGAGCTTCGAGAAGATTTTAGATAAGAATAAGAATTCAGGGGATGGAATTTGGGGGCAGGGCGCTGTTTAATGGAGCACACAGTAATATATACAGGAAGCTCAACATCAAGGGCATGACTAGTTGAATGAAAATTTTAACTAAGCTTCACTCGCTAAAAGGAATATTACAAATCTCTACTGGTTGGCAAGCTCGAAGGCCAAAAGTGAAAAGACATAAAACAGCTGCGCTCAAGAAAATTGAATGCAATTCCTTCTTTCCAATAACTGTTTTGAGAATTTATATGGAAGAAGTTTACATGCAGTCCTCTGTGGGTTGTTTTGTTTGTTTGTTTTTGTTTGTTTGTGCTTAGCAGAGGGACAGAAGGAGAGAATAGATGTGGTATGGCAGGAGAGATTACAGTAATAATTTCATGACAGCTCAAAGTCAACTTTGAAAACAAATTTAAGTGGGGCTCAGAGTTTGTTAACGTTTCTCTATCTTACGCCCTGAAGTCAAACATTTTAACTGCACAATTATGGAGTTTGGAAAAACACAATGGAAATCATTAGTGCAACCTTCTCACTTCATATAGGAGGACACTGAGACCCACAGAAGTTGAATGACTTATCGAAGATTAAAGGATAAACTGATTGTAAAGCCAGGGAGAAAAAAGGTCTCCTAATTGTTGATATCACTGAGTGTGTGTGTGTGTGTGTGTGTGTGTGTGTGTGTGTGACTCAAGAGACTGAAATCAACCATTCAGTTGAGTAAATTATCAAAAGTACAAGAAAACTGTCCTAGCCAGGTGTCTCCTCCATTTAATAGTGGAACTTATCCTGGCAAACGAAAGACTCATTTAACTTCTGCTTTCTTTCCCACAATGCTTGCATCCCAGGGAACCATTCAGCTGGTGAGCCCCCATCAACCATATACAACTCCTCCGATGAAAGCTGTATTCAGACTCTAAAGCAGGGAATTAGAAATAAGAAGCCCAGTCATAAGTCCACAGTGTTGTGCACAGAAAACTCATTCCATCATTTCAGCTTAAGTGTTTGGGATAACACACTGTTTAAGAAAATGATGTTCTTCCTTTCATTTATTTTTTATTTTGTATGACTTGCACCCTAATGAAGTTTGTGGTAATAAAACCACCTTTACTAAATCTAGTTTAAATGCCTTCGGGAAAGCTCTGTAATGAAGTGGTATTCTGAAGTGTTTGAAGTCTGAAGGGAAATGAGCTGTGGTAACACAGGAAGTTCCTAGTATGAACGGACTTGTCGTGAAATAAGTGAACTTTTTACTGATGAAGCCGTGGGACTGGCAGAGAGTTACTCTGGTCATCATCCTTGTAAAATAGAATTAGTAGACTTCTTAATGCAGGTGAGCAGAGGCTACTACAAGCCAGTATCTCTCCCAAGGAGAGGGATTTACAGTAAGAACTTTACACTCTGCTTGGAGAAGAAGAGGAAGGGGTCTTTGCCTTGAAATAGTGGAACAGACTGTCTGCGTCACTGTCTGTCCTCCTTTGGACATCCTTAGAACATACGTACATTTATGAGTTATCCTATAGAGGCTAGATTAAACAGTCTTTATTTATATCAATCTGAGTCTCAGTTATTCATAGAATTTACCAATTTTTATTTGCAGCAGTGTTTATGAAGAGTACAAGCAATAACAGGATAACCAGAGGCAGAAAAGAACAAAATACAGAAGTTGTTGCCAACTCTAAATAAAGTAATATGACCATTGTGTAAAATCTTTAGTGATAAGGAGAGTTGAAAGCCAGCGAACGAATATAAAAGCCAGTTTCCCAGTCTCTTTGGTGAACCAGCATACATACAAATTACAAGGGAAAATAATTTCACAAATGCTATTGTTTTCCCAATTATTTTTATCATAAAGATTTCCAGAGAATTATGACCCTGAAGGACAGGAAGTTTTATCTTCTTACAACAAATTCAGGCTGTATACAATAAAACGAGTAAAGAGGAAGAAATGTTGTTGGGACTTTTCGATCCAACATAGTAAGAAAGTTACTATTTGGCAAAATATTAAAATCGTTACGCTGCAGGTCAACTATTGGTTGACTTTGGTACGATTTATTAAGTGCTTTCAACATCTGTAATACACTTGAAAAGTTTTAAATGTAATTTTTTATAACCTGGTGATATTCTAAGGCATCAAGGGGTTCTGTATTAAAGGCCATCTTAAATATCCCCAAGGGTGGGATACCTTAGCTGATTTTCCACTTGCCCACTCCCAAGAAGGTCCTGGCAGAGTAACATGAATGAAACTAGCCTTCTTTTGTACCCACATGGAATCATTAGTTGTTAGTCACTTAGCACAAATTACTATTACATGATCCTTGTAGAGATCCAAGACTGTTCCCCAGGGTCACAGTTTACTGGGGCTGCTGTTCAGAGCAAACAACCCAGTCATTCAGAGGCTCTGAAATATTAAGGGGTCTTACCAGAGGCTGTGAAACTCTCCACCTCAAAGCCTCATTTCAGCAGATATCCAGCGTGGCCATGTTAAGCATCGCCAACTTTAATGATCAGAGAATAACCCGATAAAACCCACCACAAAGTCCACGCTGCGCTAAGCTCTAAAAAATTATGATGCTCATCTGAGAAGATGCTGAGGGCACTGCCCTGCATCTTGGGTGTTGGGGTTTGCTGTGACTGTGCAAAAAAGTTCAGTGTCCCCATGAGGCAGAAAGAAAAAGAAAAGCAGTGAGCGGTGATGGGAAACAAATCAGAGAATAGGATAATTTTTTGGACTCATGTATGAAATCAGGCTGAGAGAAAAAAACATCCAAGGGCAAACAGTACTCACAATGCAGCAGAGAATGCAGGGAAAGATGTCAGCTGATTTACAGGCTACAAGCTTGGTGTGAGGTGTGTGTCGGGAGTGGCTCTCTTCTGTTACAAACGACTCCAGAACTGTTCTTGCATTATAAATTGGTAAAGGATTCTAACAAAGAATTGTTTAACTGCTTAGCACGAAATACTATATAGACTGTCAGCATGCAAGTTTCTATTTCAAAAGTATCTAACGACCAGAACTTAAGCAAATTTATGCCGTGTGAAGGAGGAAGTCATAGGTTAAGGGGGACTTCATTGAAAAAAATACCCAAAAAAACCCAAAAACAATAAAAAAAACACAACTGGCGCATTCCTGTTTGCTACTGACCCTCTTCAGTTGTTGTTGTAATTGTTCCCTCATGGACTCAGGACAATTGTCCAGCTGGGTCTTCTGCTCGGAGTAAAGCTCCTGAAGCCTCTCTAGTTTTTCCCTTTCAGCATCAAGCTTTACCTTCTCCTGAAGTTCAGAAATCAGAAAATAGAAGAATAGAGATTACCTTCACACCCAAGGCAGGCGTTAGTGAACATTTCCCAAGGATAATGTAAATACACACACACACACATATACACACAAACTAGATATCCTATGGATGTGGAAACATACCTTGTTAGTGACTAAGATAAGGGGGGTGGAGTGAAAGTAAAAAAAAAAGGGGGCCTCATTTCTGCATTCTCAAAACACAGTCCACTTCACTGGGTATTGGCAATGACCCCCAAACTTCCATCCTTGCTGCCTGCCTTCCCTCCTTCCTGCCCCCATATTATAAAGCAGAAGAAGCTGGTCAGTGGTCAACAAAGGACAAAAGAAATGCCAACCAAATCTATGAGATAGCCTTGCAGAGGGTCCCTTGGCAAAGGACCAAAGGAAAGTAGTCATTTACCCCAAGTACTATCATGGTCCAATTTGCTCAAGGCACTTGTTAAGCAGGCTTTGGAAATTAATGTAATTTTGTCCTCAGACCAGAAGCATGCCAGGTACACATGCCAGGTACACAAGGGGACACCCTGACCATCTGAAACAGGTCTAGCTGTTTGGCCAACTTCGAAGCTTAAACAATTAGAAAATCTGATTCTAAGAAGAGCATTGGATTCAAAGGCTAGGAGAGCAGGGAAGAAGGCACCCCTGACAAAGCAGGCAGGGGAGGCGTATTATGCAATGTGGCTACGCCGACTTGTGACATTTACTGTGGAGATGAAGACTTGTCTAGATTGACATTGAAAATACTTGAAACATGGACTGTAGAGAAAAAGAAAGGAGAACATCCAGGTGTCAGAAAATAGAAGAGAAAGGAGGAGATGACACCAAATCCTTCCTCAACCACACACTCCAAGGGGGCCTAGACATTCTCTGGCCTCTACCAGGCAAGTCTTATAAGACAGCGACTACACAGCCTTACACGTCACCTTTTCAACTGAGAAATGATACTTCAACCTGTTTAGTGCTTGTCTTCCCAACCTGTGTTCCCTTTATGGTGCTCTGAAGCCTTGAAGTAAATCTCAGACCTGATTCTCCTGGGGTTTAACTGTTAGCCTACACGGAAGTGCTTCATGAAGCACTACCCGGATTTAATCCTCTGTAAGTACAATGACCACCACCTTACTCTCCTTGCTTTGTTCACTCGATGTGCCCTGATAGCAATAAAACTGGCTTCTGAGCTTGATCAGAGAAGCTTAGAAGATTTTTGTTTTAAGGGATGAAGCTCTGAAATAGTCCTATAAAATTATACTTACTATAATTTCTTCATCCGAATGGCCATGATTTCCCAAACACGTCTTTAGATTCTTTATGAAAGAGGCTATAATTTAAATCTGAAACTACAGGACATAGATACCTATATCAGTTCACTTAGGTGTCCATTTTTGTCAGAGAATTTTCAAATGTCAAGGGCATTTTAGAAATGTGTATTTAGGTGTAAAGCGCATTTTTTTTCCTCTCAAAATGATTAAACCTGGAAGTCATAAAACTGAGAGTCCTACTTCATATATCAATCTAAAAATGTTTCTGCAACTTAAACTTCTGCAGACTATCCGGAAAGTTTTTTCAGTCTTCAAAGGCAAGTTGTACCCCCAGGGCAAACCTAGAGTGTAGGAGTCAGAGAGGAGCCATGGCCTGGTTCGCAGACTGGAAGGATGATCAAGGGTTCATTCACAGTAAAGCTGAATATACCAGGACCAGGCAGATTCAGTCTTTAGTTTCAGAATGAATCATTTTTTCCCTTTAGTACAACCAGCGATACAGAATACCGGTTGTCTCTTGGAAAGGGAAATGTGTTATTTCTTCTCTGTGTGGATCAGAGCTTGCCCTATTTACACAGCAGAAGAATTTTTTTTAATAATAAATTTATTTTTTATTGGTGTTCAATTTGCCAACATACAGAATAACACCCAGGGCTCATCCCGTCAAGTGCCCCCCTCAGTGCCCGCCACCCAGCACAGCAGAAGAATTTTATCCAAAAAGAGTTCTATTTCTAGATAACTGTATCACAGGATTTTGCTGAAATTCTAGTTTCAAAAAAGTTCGATAACACCGCCCAAAAAACGAAAACAAAATCCCAAACAACTATCCAATCCCATTAAATACCTTGTATGAGCAAAACTGTAAAATTTAAAGTTACATCAGACAGAAAACATTGATATTTGATTGTATGATATTTGATTATATGGAAAGGCACTGGCCTAAAACACAGGTCTTAAATCTGAAGAAATAGCTCAACTATTCCTCTGATGCCCCCAATTTTTTTAATCACTGCTGATAAGCACAGATAAGTAGTAGAAAGTGACTTATGTTTACATAGCACCTTCCTTCTGAGGTGCTCAAAATGTTTTGTGATTCCATATAAGGGAGTAGTGAGAAGAATTGTGCCCCATTAGAACCTTCTGCAGCTTCTCTGGTTTACCGGTAATGCTATGACCACTATGTGGGTCTCAGAGCAAAAGCTTAGTGGGGCCAAAGCTAGGGCAAAGGAAGTAAAGGGGAAGGATCAAAGAACTAGTGGCAGGTGGGCCAGGCCATAAATCACAGAGGAGCAGAGAGGTGATATCACTCTCGTGCCAGCCAGAAGTTGGCCAACTTGAAGCCAGAAAGAAATGAATATTCCTACTTTCTATTTTTTGCCCAGAAAGTTTTCAAAGGAAAATTAGCTCTAGGCAACTAGTTAATTAGAGCTGAAAATATCACCTTCTGCGATGGCATTTCAGGGTTCAGGGATTCCTGCCTTTGATGTGCAAAACATGAACATTGAGTGTTACTTCCTTCCCCCAGATGGAAACTGGTAAACTCATCTATTCTAATTACTATAGGCACAGCAATATTTTCTAAACACCAAATTGGCAGTGAGCATCACTTTTTCTTTTAGGATTCATAAATCTGTTTTCAAGAAACAAATGTACTTAAGTGACTTTTAATGAATTTTAAATTAAATGAAATTTAAACTAAATTTTCAATAAATTTATTAAACTTTAATGAGAATTTCATAAATTTTAATAAATTTAACAGATTTAACGTTATTGGAAAAACAAGAGTATAAGGAATTAGAACACTCCAGGAAAATCCAGAGGTACAAGGGGGCATTTATAAAACCAAGAACAGAATGTGACTTCACTAGAGACACGGCTGCTTCTATTAGCACTGCTCTTGTATTGATTTGTCTTTATGTGCTGGCAAAATCCAACTGGGTCTCAAATTCACTGCCAGATTTTGCCTTTTTTTTTTTTAATGTTTAAGAATGATGTTCTTAAAGTGTATATATGGCCAAAGGTAAATCATTCACAGCAAATTAAAGCAGAAATCAGTATATAAAATCAGGCTTCTCTTCGTTTCCACGGTGAGTTGTTTTTTCACTCACTCAGTAAATATTTATAAGGAGAGTAAGTAGAGAAAAGAAGAAGGCTGATCACTGTCCTCACAATGTACAGTCCAGTCAGCTCTGAGATTCTTAGCCCCGACTGCACATTAAAAAAACCTGGGTGAGCTTTTAAATATACTATTTCCCCAGTCTCCACTCAGTCAGACATCCAGGAGCCAAAGGCTGGGATATGAGCATTTAAAAAAATCCTGCCATGTTTTCTCATACACAGCCAGGTTAGGAAACCCTAAATGAGCCACTCAGGCTGATGTGAGAGGCAAAGGCGATTAACAACTATTCAATTTTTTTTTTAATGAAGACACAAGATATTAATACACAAGGCACTAAAGAGTGCTCTCAAAACATTTGGCTTAGTGCCTTTACTTCATAGTATAAAAGGTCCCTTTTACAAGTGACACCTCGATTGTACAATTTTTTTACACTCAGATTAAATGCCTCAAGTAAACCAAAGAGTAGACTGTGAGATTCTGATACATTTCAAGTTCAGATGCAAAATGACTCTCTTCTAGTCACAAATGATCAAGAGTGTGGATGAGTTTCCCCTAAGCAATCTAAGCTCGTTCACAAGAAGCACCAATAATCTTTAATGAACTTAATAATCCAAAACTCATCATAGGACCACTGATTTTGCTGGATGTGTGGTTAGAAGACAGTAACATAAGTTTTCTCTCTTTTGAGTTGTATTTCTGAAGGAAGGAACTGAAAATTAAGTTGCTGGCTCTATTTGAATTTCAATATTACACAGATTCTTGAATACCAATGAAGAAATAATTTTACCACATCTAAGTTATACTTGGCAAGCAGATGGTTCATGGTTACTCTGAAAAGATGCTTACTTTATAAGCTTATAGGGCTGCCAGATAAAATAGAGGACACTCAGTTAAATTTGAATTTCAGGGGATCCCGGGGTGGTTGAGCGGTTTGGCCCCTGCCTTTGGCCCAGGGCATGATCCTGGAGTCCTGGATTGAGTCCCACATCAGGCTCCCTGCATGGACCCTGCATCTCCCTCTGCCTGTGTCTCTGCCTCTCTCTCTCTGTATGTCTCTCATGAATAAATAAAATCTTTTAAAAAAATTTTTTTTGAATTTCAGATGAATGACAAATGATCTTTTAATATAAGTATGTTCCAAATAATGCTTAGGGCATAATTACTGTTTATCTGAAATTCAAATGTACCTGAGCATCCTACATATGTAAATATTTTATTATATATAAATATATATATATAGGATAGGATGTACATAGAAGATCTATACACACATATTTATTTATTTATTTATTTGCTAAATCTGGCAACTCTATTAGCTTAATAAAGATTTTCTTAAAACTTAAGGTCCATCTTTGTATTTTTCAATCTGTTGCACAGAACCCAGCACTAAGTACTTGGATTTCATGAAACATTGGGTCAGGTTTGGAGTTGATGCAGTGATATGTTTAAACTCATAGTACCTAAGCCATAATTTCTGAGGGTAGTCGATCCAAAGTCCTTTCCTTATACCCTGAGAAAACCCTTATTTCTAGTTCCTAAAACCTGTGGCTTGGGAGGTAGGCATCCTCATGGGTTCACAGATTAGGCAATTAGTGGCTTTA